TTGAAAATACCGTAACTCCACGCAACTGGTCCATCAAATCATCAATCCTAAAAAATGAATACTTATTCTTTATCGTCACCTAGTTCAGTTGTCGATAATCCACACACATCCTTATACTCCCATATTTCTATTTTACTAAGAACATTGGCTCTCCCCATGGTGAAACACTCAGTCTCACGAACCACTTTTGTAATAAATCCTCCACTTGCTTCTTGACCTCTGTTAACTCGACCGGTGACATCCTATATGGTATCACAAAAATTGGGCTTGTTCCCAAAATGAGGTCTATAGCGAATTCAATCTCCCTTTCAGGTGGCAATTCAAAAACGTCTTCAGAAAAGACTTCGAAGAAGTCCCTTATCATTGGGATGTACTCTGACTCCACTACACTTTCAGCCTCCATCAAGAATAGGACCATAAAGGCTTTAGCAATCACCGTGTTCTCCAATGCACCTTGATCCAAGAGCCTTAGAATTTTCGTTATTGACTCATCGAAGATCAAAATCTTCTCCCTGTAGTCTAGCAGCACATGGTTGGCAGCTAGCCAATCCATTCCTAAAATTACATCCAACTGGGAAAAAGGCAAGCAAATCAAGTCTCCTTCAAAGTCCCTACCATGCATCATTATTGAACACCCTAGACATGCCCACGACATCATAACCAGCTTACCCGTAAGGGTAGTCACCACAACATTGTACGACAATTCAGTCACATACAAACCCAGACTCTTCACACAGTCCACGAATACAAAAGAGTGTGTAGCACCCGAATCAAACAATACATCAAGTAGTTTGCTCTTAATAACACATTTACCTCGAATTAACTCCTCAGATTGTGAAGTCTCTGCCCCACTCGTAGCAAAGACTCTCCTGGGAATACTCGACTTTGGCCCCATGCTTGGTCCCATGCTCCTCCCTCTTGACTCAGGCCTATGAGTTATACTCGAACTACCACTCCTTTTAATAGCCCAACATACATTAGTAGTGTGCCCCGAATTTTCATAGTTACTACAGTTGGTCCGTGGTTGTAGGCAGTCTCTCACTATGTGTGGTCCTCCACACTTGAAGCATTTGATTGGCTCTCTGAAAGAGCTAGAACCAGAGCCACTCCCATTGCTCCTCTCTTAAGACGATTTTCCTCTGGACTGAGAATTACTTGAGCCTAAATATGGCCCTTTTAAGAATCTAGGGGGTCTTCTATCTTGCCTCATTAGGCTACTTCCCCTGGTGTCCACAGTCTTCCCTCTCGAGTTAGCTTTAAAGATTCTACACTTACTCACCAAAGTAGGCAAGTTAGTCAGTTCGAAAACACTGACAGCAGCTCGAATCTTTGGCTTCAACCTATGCTTAAACTGAGCACACAATTCTTCCTCTCTATCCTCATGCTATTAGTGAGGCTAATACTTCATCAGCTCTTAAAATTTTGCTGCATACTCTTCTACTGTCATATTCCCGAGCTTTAGCTCAAGGAACTCTCAAGCTTTCTGCTTCTTCAAATCCCAAGGAAAGTAATTCCCCATGAAACTCGCCTTGAATGGTTCCCACTGAATATAGCTACCTTCTTGTGGCAAGGTCTGACTGACAAAATTCCACCAGTCCTCTACCTCCCCACATAGCATATATGTGGCATAGATCAGCTTGTGCTTCTCTCGACACTTAATTGCATAAAAGACCTTCTCCATATTAGCCAACCACCTCTGGGCACCTTCTGGGTCAAACTTTCTTTCAAATATAGAAGGATTATGCCTAGTGAAGGCAGACAGTCCTTGGTACTCAGCTGATTCTGCGTCTTGGTTGTGCACCAAGGTCTCCAGAACTTGGCTCATCCGCTCTAATGGGTCATTGGTGATCCCAGTTCCTCTACCTCTACCGACTATTCTAATCTAAGCTAGTAAACAATGTAACAAACAACATTCTAACACATCAGATTAATAACAACATTTATAATTCAGACAAACAAAACATATCAACACACAGCTTGGACGCTTCAGACCGATACTCCAGTCCAGTTTGGATGAACTGCTTTAATACCAAAATTGTAACACCTCAATTTAATTTCTAATAAATAAATTTCACAAAAATAGGAACAATAAATTTTTTCATTTAAAAAGATTTCTCCTACATGGTTCGATAAAATATTTCAAAATAAAAAACAAATGGATTACAAGTTTATATCAAATTACTGCTACATGACCAATTCAAATACATCATATTTTCAAAATAAATATTCTAAGTCCTATAGCAGTTTCATCCATCCCTTCATTGAGCTAGGTGTTGATCGTCTTAGTTACCTAAAAAATAAATGTAACGGTGAGTACTCTACATTATTAAACATGCACAAGCATAGACACTCACTTGACATATTTTCACACACTTCCATCTAATATAAATCACTCATTATACAAACATAAGCAATAATTTCAACATTTCATTCTCATCCACACACAAGTGCGCTCACTGCACCATCAAACAATTTACACCCATGTGCGCTCACTGTGGCACTGTGATCATAGTTTTCCTGATGCCCTCAACCTCAAGGACTTGTTCAGTTTCCTACTATGAATGGTTACTGGATTGCCCCCGCCTCATGGATACAATGTATGTGGTCACGGGTCCCTTAGCAAATGTGTTAGTCAGAGGCTGACTCAGGAAGAAAGTGTGTGGCCTATAGTGCACCCATGCTCACTGATGGTGTTACCACTACCCTCTCTTTCCCAAGGTATTTCTACCGTCCTTATCTTCCACACTCCCAGTGTATCGTTGAACCATTCATAGCTTTCCAACATATCCAAACAAAATCACAATCAACATCAACATGCCATTTCCACACACTTTCGACCATTTCAGTTTATTCAACATCAATTAATGGCATGCAACCACACACAATCACCAACAACGGGTTCAACTATTTCCTCACACATCATATTCGACATCAATTACATTGTATTCAAACACACAACATCCACTATTCATCATACACATTTCTCAAATATCAATCACATCATATTGCACACCACATTTCCATCAAGATTCAATCTCATTCAAACCATTCTCACCAAAATACATATCTTCTCATATTTTATCCTCGGAATGAAGATCCGCAACACAAATCAACAATGAACGTGCTACAGCGAGATTACACCTAGAAATGTATCATTCTCTGTTGCCTTCTCGCTACAGCAAGAACGTAATAAAATCACCCTTTTCTCCCAAGACTTTCTCACTACAACAAGAACGCCTCTACAACACACACTCAGCTTATACATATATATATATATATATATGTGTGTGTGTGTGTGTGTGTGTGTGTGTGTGTGTGTGTGTGTGTGTATGTGTGTGTATGTATGTATACTTAATCGATCCAACCAAAAGTCCATATTCATCATTCAATCATATTATATAAATATACCCATATCTATACGTACTTACACACATATCCACACCACCATTCAGTAGTCATCATCATTATATCCATATTTAACTCATCACACAATTAATTGCATATTCAAACATCAATTCACACATATATTTTAATAATTAAACAATATTACAAAATTTGGGGTGTTACATGCCACACTTTTGGAGGGACTTTGAGCTTTAAATGACCGTACTTGAAGATCGAAAACTCATTTCATTCTAGTTTACTTTTCTCTATGGCTTTGTTTATGATTATTTTAGTTCTTATCTTTAGTATAAGTAACTAAGTCCATAACTAGGGCTATGGAAGTACTCGTTCATGAATTAATGAGATTTTGAAGTTTGAATCTATGTTTGATTTCCATTTGTAATTAGTGTTTATCCTATTATGTATAATTATAAAACTCTAATTAATTATATCATCAGACGGCCGCACCTCAATTAGTTAATGAATATATAGGATAAAACGAGACAAAGGATTAAGTAAATCAAATCCATCTTTCTCTTCCAATTGTTATTGAATTAACAAGTTCATAGGTGCTTTATGGTTTCTTGAATTAATATTCCATGACCATTGGAGATTGATAGTAATTGTATGAATGATTAGTAATCACAAAGAAATCGAACTTAGAATTAAATGGAAAAATAACATAAAGGATTGAATGAGAAAACTCATATATCTTGGGTTCTTCTCTTTTAAGTTTAACCAAGACATGCATTGTGTTTCTTGTTCTAATTTTTACAATTGATTTTATAATTAAATTCTTGTCTAATTTAATCTCATATCCTTTGAGTTCAAACAATTGAATTAGAAAGTTTTTAGTAACTACAAAATAATTTTTGTGAAACGATAATTTTGAGAACTTATTTTGGAACCCTATATTACTTTTCAACGAATACACTTGTCCACTAAACAAGATTTTGGCGCTGTTGTTGAGGATTATTTTTTCAATATTAAGAAAATCTCATATTTAATTTATTTGAACAATTCTTGTTTTGTTTTATTTTATTTATTTGTTTTGTTTGCTTTAATTTTAATTTTGTTTATTTTCATTCTTATTTTTTATTTATTTTATTTTATTTTTTTATTTATAAAAAAACTAGTATATGTTCACTCATTCTAAATGTTCTACAGTTTGTCTATTTGATCCGAAGATCGAAAGAACTGTGTGAAGGCAAAGAAAGGAGTTGAGACAACAAAGAGTGGCTGAGAGAAAGAGATCGATTCAAGACTATGTGACATCCACTGCTAGAGGTACTTTTGGGAGCATCGCGGCCCCTAATGTGAAAGTTAACAATTTTGAATTAAAGTCGGTCTTGAACACTATGGTTTAGAATTCTACACAGTTTGGAAGAATGCCTCATGAAGACCCTAACCTCCATTTGAAAAAAAAAATTCTAACTTACAGACACTGTCAAATACAACAGGGTCACCACTAATGCTGTAAAGTTTCACCTTTTTCCATCCTTTGTCACAGAAAAGGTGAATGCATGGTTTGCCATGCTCCCAACAAGTTCTATTACAACATGGGAAGATTTGACTTAGCAATTCTTGGAAAAATATTTTCTCCATCTCGTTCTACTAAGTTGATGGTCGAGATAGCAAACTTCCAGCAACATGAGTCAAAATTCCTATTTGAAGCATGGGAACAGTTTAGAGAACTATTGAGGAGGTGCCCTCATCATGATTTTCCTATGTGGAGACAGATACAAATTTTTTATAATGGATTATCAGTCTCCATGGCATGAGCCATCTGGTTTACGTCAGCAGGAGGAAGAGGGTTTACAGTAGACCTTTTTGGTCTAGCCATCTTAGTATATAGAATAAAACTAGTATAGATTACTAACATTTAACACATTCAGCAATACCATCACATAGCTATTTTTGTAGATTCAGCTTACAGTGATATATTTATATTAAGTATATCATATTAATTTATTCAATTTAGCGATTAGCATAACATCATATCAACATTCTTAGCATTCACACAGCATAGCAAACACACTTATCTCAGCAATCATTTACAACTTAGCTTAATAGTCTATCATTCATGCAGCATGACTCGCCTATAGCTCACCCAATTATCATATACCAAAATTTTCTACATTTGTTGTGTCTGAGAACTGAGATGATTAAGCTCGTTCCCTCACAACCTGATGATTAGAAATTATGATATATAATTCATAGCTAAGACTCACATGCCTAACATGCACAATTGACGCCTAACAACCTCATCCCGTAGGTTTACCTAGACTATGCTCTAATACCACTAAAATGTCATGACCACTTTTTATAAGGAACCGAGAACATTATTTCTACATCACTTACTTATTTAAGATAGATAAATAATGGAGAATACAAGTATAAAATTCACTTCTCATTCAAAATAAAATAAAGTTTCTTACAACAAATATCCAAAAAAAATAACATAATATTATATTTAGTTCATAATATTCAAAATACACAAAATTATACATAGCTCCCTCTATATGAGGTCTTAAAATATAAGGAAATAGGACTTTAATACAAAATTACTCGACTCCAGCTTCTAACATTTTTTCACTAGCCCCTCAGCTTGTGAAGTAGATGCAACACCTGTTACATCTGCTCATGTACCACCGTACGATCATCGCAGTACACACACACAACAACAAAGACAGAAATGCTAGGATGAGCTTATAAAAATAAAATAAAATCATATATTTATATATATAGTAAAATATTACTCACAGCAACAGTCCCACGCATTCCCAGCCCATCTAATACACAACATGAAAACGATTTTCAACTGGTTTTACAGTCTAAGTAATCCAAAAAAAATTGAGTCAATCTGGGAGCGACCCATTATGGTATCTGGATCCAGACAGCACAACACATTATAACTCAGCATGCTTTATCATTACATGTCTACCCACCTAAATGTGTAACTCAGCTCTATAATGATGCAAGACATATATTTCAACATGATGCAGCACAACTAAAATCATTTCAACATCTCAAGTAAGACAAATTTTTTAATAAATCAGTCAAATCTCAGTATTATTAAATCAGTTATCAGTAGTTACAGCATAGAAAAATAACTTTCAAGTATTAAATTCTTTATATCTCAGTTTTTATCAAAAAAATCTAACAAAACCAACTCAAACATTTCTTTAATAACATATTAAATCATTCAAAACATAGTTCATAGGTTAAAGTAAGCTTCCTTTACCTTAGAATAGTGATTCACACTAAATGTACCAAATATTACTTGTTTTAACGCAAGATTCACCGAAGATTTGACTTTAGAACGAAGTCTCTCCTAAGAACACCATGAACTTCTATGAGAAAGAGAAAGAGAAGAGAAATGAACGGTGAAACTAACTTTAAATTTAGAGAAACTTACTTTAAATCCCTTAGAATGGACGTAGAATCTCAGATCTGGAGAAAAATATAAGTTTATGAAGGTTTAGTGTCAGAAAAAATGGTGATATATGGCCTTGGAATCTTTAAGAAGGGTGGAAATGTGAAAATTACGTGCAAGGACCCCTATTTATAGAAAAAAAATTTGGTATTGTTCACGCGAAGTTACTATTCACACTGCCTTACTGTTCATGTCGAAGTTACTATTCATGTGTTTTACACTGTTCACTGATACTGTTCACGCGTTTTGCACTGTTCACGTGTACTGTTCATGTGCACTGTTCATTTTTTTTAAAAATAATAATTCTAAACTCCATCTAAATCTATTTCAATACCAAATAATTATTCAATTAACATTTAATAAGTACAAAATATTATAGATTACTCAATAATAAATTACAAGCCTAACAGCTGCAAGGTCACCCTCCATACAATCAAGAGTTTAACAAATTCTTAAAGCTATTAGGCAAGGTGCACAATAATATGTCTTTCATCGATGCTATCTCCAAAATGCCCAAGTATGCCAAGCTTCTCAAGAAGATTTTGACCAACAAAAGAAAGCTAAAAGCACATGAAACTGTGAAACTCACTTAAGAGTGCTCAACTATAGTCTTTAAAAAGTTTTCACCTAAGCTGAAGGATCCATAGAGTTTTATTATTCTTGCACAATTGAAAAAATTTATATTAATAAGGTTTTATGTGATTTGGGAGCAAGTATTAACCTTATGCCTTATTCTATTTTTAGGAAGCTTAGTATGCATAAACCAAAACTGACCTCCATGTCACTTTAGCTAGCAGATAGGTCGATCACTCATCTTGAAGGCATAGTGAAAAATGTGCTTGTAAAGGTTGGAGAGTTCCTATTTCCTGCAGACTTTGTGGTGCTTAACATGGAGAAGGATGACAATGTCCCCATTATCCTAAGTAAACCCTTTTTGGGCATTGCAAGAGCTCTCATAGATGTCCAAGAAAGGAAAGTCACTTTGAGGCTAGAGGATAAGGAAGTTGTTTTTCAAGTTTTTAGTTCTCTAAAGTATCCCTCTAGTCAAGAATCCTGCAACTTTGTAAGCACTGTGGATGTTATTTTTCCTCCTCCAAATTATGTGAAGCATGAAACTCCAAGAAGAAGGCCAAGGAGAAAGCAATCTAAGAAGAAAAAAAGAAAAAAACTCAAACCATCTACTAACAAGTCTCCTAATTTAGAGATTAAATTTTTTTCTCTTTATTTTAATTCTCATCCTATAAATAATTTTTCCAATATAACAAGTGTTGGGGAGATGAAGTTGTTGAGGAGACAACTACATATAAAGGGAGTTAGTCACCTCTACAACTCATGTCTTCTTCTTATTATGATTTAACATAAACATCAAGCTTGTGATGTTAATTAGAAAATTTGTAATGAATTTTACATAAATATAGATAAATTGATATAAATAGTTAAAATTCATGATTTTTTATTATATTAAATAAGATAGCATTATATAGATAAAATATTAAATTATTAAAAGGGTTGAATTTTAAATTAATTTTTTTAATTTTTGGATCATTTTTATGTCATAGAAATGATTATATAAAAAAGTTAATTTAAATTAGTATATAAATTTTTGACATTATCATCAAATCATTAATTGTTATGTAAGTAAAACAAATTAATTTTTATAATAATTGATATAAAATTATATTTACAATATATTGTAATTCATTAATACTATAACAAATTAATTTACAGCTAAAAAGTGCAGGAAAGTTAAATTCATATAATTTTTTTTATTTGTATAGTGTGTTAAAAATTAAATTTTAAGTAATCTACAAAATATTCTTTAAATTTAATGCAGTATATTAAGATTTGAATTTATGTTAAAATAAATTTAAAATTAAGAAAAATATGAAAATAATTCATATTAGGCTATTAGCTAATAAAATGAAATATTTAATATAAAAATATAAGTAATAAAAATAATTTTATTTAAAAATAAAAGTCTAAATTTCATATATAAAACTAAACCAATTTATTTGTTAAAATAATCTTCCAATACTTTTTTTTTAGTTTTTCATTTCTTGCGTTATAAAAGAAAAATTTAAAATTTTGATTACTTAACAAATAATACCAAGCTAGAATAATGCACATATTTTAATTTATATCTAATATAAATTAAATATGTATATCAAAGTGTGAAATGTGACATTTTATCTTCGTATATTTAGAGATATTTTTCTTTTGGCTTTTCAAAAATTTCTGATTTTCTAGCGTAAGTCTTTTCTTCCTTTTATTTTCGGGCATTAATTTTTATATCTCGTTTTTTACATCATTTTTTTTCTAAAATTATCCTAATAATAATTTAAATTATTAATTACAAAATAAAAATGATATTTTAAAATTAACAGGTCTTTAAATTTTTCTATTTTTTAAAATTTTAAAAAATAAAAAAATATTTTACTTCTTGTCTGTACTGTGTTCTATCCCCAAGCTTCGTTTTTCTTTCATTATTATTTTCTTTAAAAGTATTTCAAACATCATTACTCTCTCTGTATATTTGTTTTTCTTTCATTATTATTTTCTTCAAAAGTATTTTAAGAATCATTACTCTCTCTACATATTTGTTAATCTCCATTAACATGTCAACTCGAGCACTTTTTTACAATAAGTTTTTGAAATTAATATATACACATTTAATTTGTTTTGAAATTATTAATCTTTTCTAGAATTAAAATTTACACTCTTGAAAATAAATTTTAGAAATAATTAATTAATTTTAAATTTAGGTTTTAATACTTTCAAACATTAATAATTAAAATTATCAACTATTTTGTAGAATAATTTTTCAGAACTAGGATTTTACACTTCTAAGAATAAGTTTCCAGAATCAAATTAATTTAAAAATTTAAATTTGTACACTTTTAAAAATCATTTTTTAAACTTACTAAGTATTATTGAAAATAAGTTTCCATTTGGAAATAAATTTCTGGAATGAAATTGATTTTTAAATTTAAATTTTACACTTTTAAAAATTTAATTTTTGAAATTATCAACTATTTCTTAAAAAAAGTTTCCAAAATTAGAATTTTTACGTTTTTTGGAAATAAATTTGCAAAATTTAATTAAAATTTATAAAAATATTTACTATTTATAGAAATAAATTTATGAAATTAGGATTATACTTTTACAAATATTTTTCTATACAAACTAAATAATTTTTATTATGATAAGAATATTTTTAAAAATATTATAGTTTTTTAAATTGGGTGTAAAAGAAAAAGGTGAAAATGCAAACCCTTTGTTTTTTTTGAAAAATATATGCAAACCCGGCTCAAAACGGGGAAGTTAAAACTAGTTACAGACAGCTTTCCAAAGGTTGTCTGGTTGTGATTGTAAAGGCAATGAGTCTGGAATGAAATGATTTAGAGGTAAGAGATGCAAACGAATTCAAAAGACAAGGCAATGGATTTAATGAACCACAATCTCAACTTTTATATTTTGCAACAATGCTTTTCTTAGTGCGTCTTTTCCCTAAAGATCATAAATATGTGCCAGCAGAAATCTCGAGTGTCTTAAATTTTTCACCTGATGATTTCTCGAGTGAAATTGTTTTTGGGGAGGTGGTGAAGAGGGGTGCCATGGAATAGGCCTTGCTGATGAGGAAATTGTCGGGTTGGTTACCTCTTACCAAGCTACGTGAGCATGTGATTTCACCATGCATTTAAGCTTACTGGTGTAGTTGAAGCTACATCTTGCAATGCTTTGTTTTTATAAACATACTTGCAGGATGAAGTAACGAAAGAGATGGAAGAGGAGGGGATACGATTTCTATTTTTAAAAATTTAAATAATGTTGACAATAAATACAAATAGATTGTCTTATAAAGGTTTATTATTTAACTTTTTAAAAGTTTAGTATGTTTTAATTTATTTAAATAATACTTAATTTAATTTTTTTTAAATTTAATTAATTTAATATGTTAAGATTAATTTTAAAAAAATCTATTTAGTTTAATAGAATAATCTATTTAAAATTCTAAAAAATTATAATATTATTTTAAATAATTTTATATAAAAATTATAATATTATATTATATTAAATAAATTAAATTTTAAAATAAAATAAATTATGAAATTAGAAACATTAATCTTTTTTGTTAAAATTAGAGTATTTTGTGTTACCATTAATATCTTTATATTTTATTTTAAAATAATATTATTATTTGTATATTTTAAATTTTTGTTTATTGTATTTTGTTAATTTAAGATATTTAACTTATTTAATTATTTATCGATTTAAAGTGTAAAACTTTATGTTACTAAATTTAGTTAATAATTTTTTTATCATGTTTATTTAATTGCATTTGTTATATGTTTAATGATTTATTTATTTAAATTAAATATGTAGTTTGAAAATAATAAATAAAAATATATAATTTTATTATAAATATTTAATGTGTTAAACTATTTTTTTATTAGATAAAAAATTTATATTATTTATAGAGATATAATTATTTAAATAATTTAATAGTCTATTTATAAATAAACTTAATAATCAATTAAATATTTCAATATAAAATAAATTATTAAAAAGAAACTAAAAAACTAATCAAACTTTAAAAAAAAAAAATAAACTTAATAAAAAATTATAATTAAATTTTAAATTTTTTTATTCTGTTTCTCATTTCTCTGTTTCGTTTGTCTCTAAAATGATCAAAACAAACCAAGCCTTGTAGTATTTTAAGAGAAGTTGAAAGGTTCTGAAATGTATAGTGCTTTGAATCATTGAGTGCATTATGCATAACCAAATACAAAGTCAATCCTCGAGAAGTTAAAGCCAATCATAATTGGTGCATAAAATGATTTGTTTAATAAATACAATAAAGAAGATATTTGAGTTGAATATTTCCAATAACCTCGATCGAGCAATGGACTGGGCAAGTACAACTACCAAGTACCAACGTCCATAAAAATCAAGTACGATATTTGATATAATTAATAACTCAGCGGTTGCTAGTATTTCCAATTTTTTCTAAATTAACGATAAAGAAAAGTTATATATAATTTTTAATTTAAGCTGAATGGAAGTGATAAATTATTAATTTTTACATACAGACTTAATTTTATATCCAAATTATCTCTTCCTTCCTCTTATTTACATGATTAAATTTGTTGACTTTGAGAGTAATTTTTGTTACATTAAAAAATTGCATAACATTCTTACGTGAAAATTGTGGTATTTTTTTTATAAGTGTAAATGAATTTTTATAGAGTTACACCTGTTTATTATGGGTTATATTTTGGTACAGTTTTTTAAGAAGTGTTGTTTAAGTGCAAGAAAGAGAACGATATGATAAAAGAAAAAATAAAGGAAAGAAAAACATATAAATTTTTTTACATCGTGCATATAAAATATAAAATGTAAAAGATAGATTAATAAAAGAATTAGTTTCTGATTTTTGTATAAAATATGTAATATACATCATGAATAAAACCTTTTTACAAAGCATAGCTTAGTCATTGTCATTAAACTAGCTTGAATTTGCCAAATGGGTGCCTAATTTTATTAGTATACACTTTTTTATAAAAGAAAAATATATAGTCTTAAGTTCAAATTTACGCATGAAATAAAGCTTTATTAGAAAAATTAGCTTTACCATATTATATATTTTCTTAATATTTAATTCAAACAGATTGACTTCTCTTAAAAAAATTTGTAATGCTAAAAAAAATAGAACAAACTTGCATACATAAAGTTATTGTTAAAAAGTCTCTATGAATGATGTTATATATAGAATGAGGAAAACGCTATATAACTTAAAAATCTGATTAATTTGGATATCAATGTCACTGGTGACAAATATTCTTTACATTACCGATACCTATAGCCAAATTAAATTAAAAAAAAAACTGGGTTTTAACAAAAATTTTTAATACATTAAAAAAATACTAAAACAATTTATTTACATGAGTTAGCATATAGTTGTAATTTGTTTCACAAATTAGTATATAATTGCGTCCCTGAGAGATATTTAATTCGCGTATATACATTTTTTAAATAGAGAATAAAATTTATTACTATTTGCTTATCATAAATTCCATCGTTAATATCTTGTATGCCATGCTATACAGCTAAACCCTTGCTGCTATTTTCTTTCGTTTATTTGTACTATCATATGCAACCCCAAATCGAAATCTCGACAGCAAAACAAAAATCATAAGAGAATTAATATCAGCAGTTACAAACGTTACTATGTAGTATGAAAATGAGGATTACTAGGATGGGGTGGGGCAAAACAGTAATTCCGAGAAACACAAAAAAGAAGAGGTTGAATTCCTTTGACCTAAATACCCTCTTTTTGAGGATGGCCCCAAACCTGTATTACCCTTCTCAGCCCTCAGAAGCGATGCTTCTGGTACCCCTCTAATTCCCAATCTTCCTCTCTTCTCCTTACCCTTCTTCCTCTAATTCCGATTTTCTCCATCTCCCCGCCAATTTTCCTCAACCTCTTTTCAAATTCCTCTTCCTTCTCCCTCAATCCACAAAACCCCTTCGATCCCCATCTTAATGCTCTAAACCATCGTCTCGCTACCCTTTTCACCATTACCCACCTCCCCTTCATGTTTTTTCCAGATCCTAAGACCATGGTTTCCTACCCTTTTGGGAAAAGCTTAAAGCTTTCAGGTAATTTTACTGTTATTTTGTATTCTTATGTGTTTTAGTCAATTCTTAATTTTTACAACCAATTCAATTGTGGGCATTGGGTGTGATTCAATATCTTCATGAAAGTTTGTCTTTTTTTTTTGGTTAGTTCAGTCGCTTGTAAAGCTGTTCAATGTTGGGTTATGGATTCCCGTGTCAGATTAAAGTGGTGTTATTCGATGGTTTACATGTAGTTCCGCACCATGTTTATGGTCATAAGTTTATGGTCAATGCATGTCTTGTTTTTCTTGGATTCTTAAAGTGACTGTAGTTTCTCATGAATGTTAAACATTCTGTGCTCTATTAAAAGGTGATGATTTTCATTATGTGGCTAGGAATTTAGTTCATGTAATTTGCTTTTGTTTCTGGGATGGTTATCAATTTATAGACGTGTGAAGGGAACCTTTGTGGATACCAATTCTATATGACCATAGATTTGTGGGATTGAAATCCCAATCGTTCAATATTAATTGTAAATCAACAGTTAATGGTGCAGTGTGTAATTTGTGATTTAATATATGATAGTACTCGAACCTGTTAAGGATGGACAATTGTTCCCTTGTCTCATTTGAACTATTTATGTGTTGCAGTTTCATCATAGGAGCCTGACATGATTTAATTGATTGCAACAATCAAACGGTACATTATTATGTGTTTGAGGTGGGGTGCTTGGAGAAAGGATAGAAAAGTAAAAACCCAGAGCAATTATTGTCTTGTGTGGTATGCTTTGCAAAGTGGTTGTATGATCTTAAGTTATTTTGTTTGTGTGTTTCTTTGCAGTGATGCATACAATTCAGGACTTTTAACATTAATGTGCTTGACAGAGGATTAATATAATATGGTTTATCTGACTTATCTTTTGTTATCCGTGGGATCTTGTAAGAGTGTCTTGGCCATAAAGCAGTTATTTGTATTATAAGTTGAGCTTCGGTTCTTCTTGTTGTAGCTATACACAGTGATTTACATCTGCAATGGCTAACCATGATTTGATACTTGGTCAAAGTCACAATTTAGCACTTGGTCATGACCAGCAATTGGTGCTGGGTCATAATCATAATTTGGGCCTAAGCCAGAACCATGCATTGGAACTGGGATCAGCCCACGAACATCATTTAGGCCTGGGACAAACCCATGATCATGAACTGGGCTTGGGACATGCCCATGACCATGAATTGGGATTAGGACAGAACCATGATCATGGAGATGATGATGATCACACTTATGAGGATGAGCATGAGCTAGCCATGGATCAAAAACCCGAGCATGATGACCATGAGTTGCCCCTTCCTGGACAAAATCATGAGTTAGTCCTAGCAGAGAACAATGATTTGACTGTTTCAGAGAACCAAGAACTTGATGAGAATATGGACCTGGCTGTGGTTCAGAACCCAGAAATGGGAATTGATTCTGCTAATGAAATGGATGTTCAACAGTCACAACTTGTGGTTGCTTCTGCAGCCCCTGTAATTCAAGCTCGTACTGTTAGTCCTAGTTATGAATTGTCAGTGGGGCAAGAATTCCCTGATGTCAAGAGTTGCCGAAGGGCATTAAGGGATACAGCAATTGCTCTTCACTTTGAGATGCAGACTATAAAATCTGACAAGACCCGCTTTACTGCCAAATGTGCCAGTGAAGGATGTCCCTGGCGCATTCATGCAGCTAAGCTTCCAGGGGTTCCGACCTTTACTATTAGGACAATCCACGAGAATCATACGTGTGGAGGAATTTCTCATCTTGGCCATCAGCAAGCTTCAGTTCAGTGGGTTGCTAGTTCTGTGGAGCAAAGGCTGAAGGAGAACCCTAATTGCAAGCCAAAGGAGATATTGGAAGAGATTCATAGGGTTCATGGCATCACCTTATCGTATAAGCAAGCTTGGAGAGGCAAGGAGCGTATCATGGCTGCAATGCGTGGATCTTTTGAAGAAGGCTATCGCCTGCTTCCACAATACTGTGAGCAGGTGAAACGTACAAATCCAGGCAGTATTGCATCTGTTTATGGAAATCCTGCTGACAATTGCTTCCAACGTCTCTTCATTTCCTTTCAAGCATCTATATATGGTTTTTTAAATGCTTGTCGGCCACTCTTGGGGCTTGATAGAACATATTTAAAGAGCAAGTATCTCGGCACATTGCTTCTTGCTACAGGATTTGATGGTGATGGGGCTCTCTTTCCTCTAGCATTTGGTGTTGTTGACGAGGAGAATGATGATAATTGGATGTGGTTTCTGTCTGAACTTCATAACCTGCTTGAGATCAACACTGAAAACATGCCAAGGCTTACTATTTTGTCTGATAGACAGAAGGGAATTGTGGATGGAGTGGAAGCAAATTTTCCTACCGCTTTCCATGGATTTTGTATGCGCCATTTGAGTGACAGCTTTCGTAAGGAATTTAATAACACCATGCTTGTCAATCTTCTATGGGAAGCAGCTAATGCTCTTACTGTAATTGAATTTGAAGCAAAAATTTTGGAGATTGAAGAGATATCACATGATGCTGCATATTGGATTCGAAGAATTCCATCTCGTCTCTGGGCCACTGCTTATTTTGAAGGGCAAAGATTTGGTCATTTGACAGCCAACATCGTTGAATCTTTAAATACGTGGATATTGGAGGCATCTGGGCTTCCGATAATTCAAATGATGGAATGCATTCGAAGGCAGCTAATGACTTGGTTTAACGAGCGCCGAGAGACCAGCATGCAGTGGACATCAATACTTGTTGTACCTTCTGCTGAGAGAAGTGTTGCAGAGGCTCTTGAACGTGCCCGCACATATCAGGTTCTTCGCGCCAACGAAGCTGAGTTTGAAGTTATATCCCATGAAGGAACAAATATTGTTGATATCAGGAACCGTTGCTGTCTTTGTCGTGGCTGGCAGCTCTATGGTTTGCCCTGTGCTCATGCTGTGGCAGCACTTCTCTCCTGCAGGCAGAATGTCCATAGGTTCACAGAAAGTTGTTTCACTGTTGCAACTTATCGCAAGACATACTCACAAACCATACATCCAATTCCTGATAAATCTCTGTGGAAGGAATTATCTGAGGGGGATGCTAATGCTAGCAAAGTTGTTGAAATTGTTATCAATCCTCCTAAATCACTTAGGCCACCTGGGAGACCCAGAAAGAAGCGAGTTCGAGCAGAAGACCGTGGGCGTGTTAAGCGAGTGGTGCATTGTAGTCGTTGCAATCAAACAGGCCACTTTAGAACCACATGTGCAGCTCCCATCTAAGTTGCTGAAATAATAAATTGGACCATCTTTAGTTATGTTCCCTCTGCCAATTACCAAAGCGTTTCTGTAATCCTGTTTATTATTTATTTAGGCTTGATAGGTTGACTGGCGAGTAAATGATGCATGTTATTTACTTGATATTAATGTGAATTAATTTTAGCAGATACTCTACGTGTATATACACTCCAATAATTGGAATTGTTCAATAACGCAGATATATGGCATGATTTTCCGTTTCTTAGAGTATTTCCTTTTGACTATATTTTTGTAGGGATGTTCGAACCTCAAATTTTGTGAGGGGAGGGAAGCACTTATGATGAGGTCTTTACATATGCTTCCTTCTTATTGTGAATATTGTCTGGTTTTTATCTTTCAATATAAATAGATTAACTTTATCAAACTCAAATTAATCTTTTTATCACCAAATTAAACTTTAAGATGACATGAAGTTAGTCTTTAAAAAAACTAAAATGACAGCATTAATCATTAAAAGAATATGCCATTGATGAGTAGAGTTGACATGTTATCTCATTAATTTTAAAAGCCCAAAATAAGTTCAGAATGATTGTTTATTTGAAAAGGCTCTCTTTTTTAAGTTACTAAAATTTATGTGAAGGAGTATTTCAATAAATAAAGACAAACGTGCAAAGATATTCACCGATAAAAACCAATAACCCCAATTGTGTATTGCAATTTATGACCATAGGAACAAAATTTTAACTATATATTTATATAATTATACAAAAAAATGCCAATAAATTATAAAGGGTTTGGTAAATAAAAAAAAAGGTCTAAAAATTTTGTGGCGATGTATGATACACGGAATCGGCTTTTTTTTTATCCTCAACTTGCTATGGACCAGTATTATGTTATTCGGTTTGCTCTGTGCTTAGCTAATGTGTGTTTTCACGTTGCCATTTCAAATATCATATTAGTCCAGAACATTGCATGTTATTTAATGGAATGGCGGAGTATATTTGGTTTATGCATGAGAGAAATTGAACCGATGTTATCCATTGGCATCACAAGCAAACTGGCAATTGCATTAGCTAAGAGTGTAGATAAAATAATTCACTTGTGTTAACAATATTTTATTATTTTAGTTTATTAAATTAGTATTATAATCAATAAGTCGTTTCGATATTTTAAGAATAATTTAGTTTGTTATTAAATATTTTGGTTATATAATTAGTTTAAGTTTCTTTTACTTATTATAAATACGTTATTGCTATTGAATAAAAGTTGAGTTCTTTCTTCATTTATTCTTCTCACACTTATGTGTATTTCTTTTTCTTTATTTTATTTTATTTTTTTACCATAAAACCATCAAAGTGGTATCAGAGTTATCTTCTTACGTAACTATGAAAATGAATGTTGGATTAAATTTCTCACAAGTTGTTCTTCATCTCTTTGATAAAGAAAATTATGATCTTTTGGCTATCAAAATGGAGACTTACCTAGAAGCTTTAGATCTTTGGGAAGCTGTTGAAGAGGATTACGAAGTTCTTTTGCTGCCGCACAATCCTACCATAGCTCAAATAAAAAGTCACAAGGAGAGAAAAACACAAAAGATAAAGGCAAAATTATGTTTTTTTGCTGATGTTTCAACAACTATTTTTATTGTGATCATGACCTTAAAAACAGTAAAGGCAATTTGGGATTATCTTAAGAAAGAATATGTTAGGCATAAAAATATTTAATGCATGCAAGTGTTGAATTTGATCAAAGAATGTAAACTCCAAAGAATGAAAGAGTTTAAGACAATCAAAGTATATTAAGACAAACTGTTTGGCATAGCTAACAAGGTAAGATTACTAGGTACTGATTTTCCTGATTCTAGAATTGTAGAAAAGATTCTTGACAGTGCCTGAAAAATATGAGGCTACAATCACCACCTTAAAGAATGCCAAATACCTGTCCAAAATCATACTAGTGGAACTCTTAAATGCCTTACAAGTACAAGAACAAAGGTGTGCAATGAGACAAGAAGGTGTTATTGAGGGAGCCTTACATATTACGCATCATGAAAGTGCAAGATACAACAAGAAGAAATCTTCTCCTCCATATCATCATTGTGGAAAAAATGGTCATCCTCCTTTCAAATGTTGGAGAAGGCCAGATGCACATTGCAGTAAATGCAACCAAATGGGATATGAAGAAGTTACATGCAAAAATCAAAACCAACACCAAGATGAAGAGACTAAGATTGCTCATTATGAGGAAAAAGATCTATTAGGCCTGTAATTTATTATTGAGTGATCTGTAATATTTTATACTTGTTAAAGGTTAATTGAATGATTATTAGTATTGGAATAGATTTAGATGGTGTTTTGAAATTATTAAAAAAAAAAAAAAAAGGTGAACAATAAAGTCGATATGAACAGTCGATGTGAACAGTAATGTCGACGTGAACAATACTTAAAAAAACTTTAAAATTTTGCTTAAAAATAGGGAGCCTTGCATGAAAATTTTTATTTTTACACTTCTCAATAGTTCTAGAGAGACCCAGGGCCATACACTACTATTTTTTCTTATATTAAACTCTCATAAACTTAGATTTCTCACCAGATCTAAGATTCTATGTCTCTTCTAAAGGACCTAAAGTAAGTTTCTATAAGTTTAAAGTTAGATTTACCGTTTATTTCTCTTCTTCTTCTCTTTCTTATAGATAGTTGATGATATCTTAGAAGAAACTTTATTGTAGAGCTAAATCTTCAGTGGATCTTGCCTTAAAATAAGTACTATTCGGTAGATCTAGTGTAAATCGTTGTTCTAAGGTAAAGGAAACTTACTTTAATTATTAAACGATGTTTGAAACGATTTGGTATGTTATTACAAGAAGTTTTGAGATGATTTTGTCAAATCTCTTAGATAAAAGCTATTTTCTATGTTGTAACTACTGTTAATTGATTTAAAATGCTAAGATTTGATTGAAATATTATGAATTATTTTAGCTGAACTATTGAGAATATGATTTTGTCTATGTTGTATCATACTAAGATATATGTCTTGCTTCATTATAGAGCTGAGTTGTATGTTAAGGTGAATAGACGTGTAACGATAGAACATGCTAAGTTGTGCTATCTAGATCTAGATACCGAAATGGGTCATTCCCAAACTGACTTGGTTGCTTCTGGATTATTTAGGCTGTGAAACCAGTTGGAACCGTTTTCAGGTTGTGCATTAGATGGGCTGAGAATACATGGAGCTGTTGTTATGAGTAATATTTTGCTATATATATATATATATATATATATATATATATATATATATATATTCTTTTGTAAGCTCATCCTTACATTTCTTTCTATGTTGTTGTGTGCATGTATACTGCGATGATCGTACAATGGTACATGAGCAGATGTAGCAGGTATTGCATCTACTTCACAAGCTAAAGGGCTAATAGAGAAGTGTTAGAAGGCTGGAGTTGAGTAATTTTGTATTGAAGTTGTCTTCCTTATATTTTGAAACCTTATATAGAGGGAGTTATGTAGTATAATTTTTGTGTATTTTGAGTATTATGAACCAAATGTAATATTATGTTGTTCTGTTGGATATTTGTTGTAAGGAACTTTGTTTATTTTGAATAAAAAGTTAATTTTATACTTATATTTTATATTATTTATCTATCTTAAATAAGTAAATAGTGTAGAAATAATGTTCTCAGTTCCTTATAAAAAGGAGTCGTGACAAGATCATTTATTTGTTACTACTTGCCTCTTAGACTTTAAATCAAACGAAAGTTGGCTAATTGATAGTGGTTGCACTAACCACATGACTAATAATATAAAACTCTTTAGAGATTTTATGCTCACTAACATCATTAAAGTCAAAATAGGTAATGGTGATTTTATCCCAGTCAAAGGAAATAGAACAATTACAATTGCAAACTATTCAGGTATGAAGTTAATTCATGATGTTCTTTGGGTTTCTAAAATTGACCAAAATTTGTTAAGTGTTGGTCAACTGATTGAAGGAGGATTCAAAGTTATTTTTTAAGATAAACATTATTTGATTAAAGATGAAGTTGTTCAAGATATTTTCAAAGTAAAAATAAAACGAAAATTTTTTACTTTGAATATATTGAAGGAAGAGCAAACAACTTTCTCATGCAAAGAAAATATCACAACATTTCATTCTAATACCTTGAGTGTTGAAAGTAAATTTTTCAATTTCATCCATAATGCAAATGAAAGACATCTCAAAGTTGCAAAGAGAGTGGTTACGGTTAAACATTTCAAAGACATTCATAACTCAGGCATCAACTTCAAGATGAGTGAAAAATTCAAGTTAACTAATTTCTCCAATAGTGATTTAAGTGACTCAGTTAATTATTTCTCTTTTCTATAGAAAAAGAAGATTTTATTTTATTCTAATTTGAAACAGAAAAAAAACACAAGATTCTTATTGATAACAAATTCACTTTTTGTTAGCAAATTGATAGAATTTGCAGTTCAAAAAGTAAGTTACCAATATGTTTTTGAAACTGCTGTGAGTTATTTTTTATTATTTCAGTTTATTAAATTAGTATCATAGTTAATAAATCGTTTTAATATTTTAGAAATAATTTAGTTTGTTATCAAATCTTTTAATTACATAATTAGTTTAGATTTCTTTGACTTATTATAAATGTACTATTGCTGTTGAATAAAAGTCAAGTTCTTTCTCCATTGATTCTTCTCACACTCCTGCACACTTCCTTTATTGTAAGGAGCAAATATTTGTCATTTGTTGCGTAAAGACACATTTCACTGTTGATCCTAAAAGGGCTACATTTCAAATTTCATGAACCAGAGTATATCTAAAAGGGTTACATTAGATTTATTATAAGGCTTTGTTTACATTGGAAATTTGGAATGATGCCGTGGTATGAATTACAGAACTATATCAAACCAAATAGATTTATGTGCGGTATTTTATTATTTTAGTTTATATTTGTTGACGTAAACTCACTTGTAAAAATATCTAAAATGATTAATGGAAAAAATTGCAGATAAACTGAAAATCTCTGTAATGAAACATGACAACACCTAGGAATCAAAGTAGGATGACCGAAAATGAAAAAAAAAAAAAAAAAGGAGTGAGCTTAAGACTCATCAGTCCTGTAATAATCATCATCAACACATATGTGCAATGAAGAAATACAGTCTACAATGATGATGGAAATTAAATACGTGCTCTACAACTTTGACCACTCATTGCTGCCTTATCCATGTAATTTTACGACCTTTTTCTACTCCCCTATTTACTTCTCTGAAAGCAACGTACAAAAGACTCAGAATAATAACTACAACAGCTTCACATTGACCTTGCTGTCCCATATTTGTCACTTTTTGTCTTCAGCAGCTTCAGATTCTGATTCTTTTGTGGTAGCAGCAGCCATATTAGAGTCAAACTTCTCAGATTTCCCCAGCACAATCTCAATCTAGAGAATCAATAAAACGAGATAAACTTAAGCCTAACAGTATACCAAGGGAGTTTTGAAAAACCTTAAAATGAGTTTACAGAAGTAACTTCACGACTCTCATGATTTTTTTAAATTGATTTTAATAAGTTGTTTTCGTGTAACAAGAACGTTTAATTAAGGTGCTTATCCAAACTCACCCTAAAAGTCTTAAACGCATTGGGAACTCACCTTTGCCTTCTGCACCAGACGACCTTTGCTCTCATCTTTCATGCCAACCGTAGATGTCAACACTTCTGTTCCATCCAAAATATTTAATGATTAGAGTAACTACAACCATCATACAAACGAGAGTAATACAATACACAAAGAAATCTCACTCTTCTCAGTGGCAAGTCCATTGTTCTTCAAAATCTCGGCAATTGTAACAACTGTAGCTATAGCTGTACAAACACGCGTCAATGTATTTGCAGAATATTGTATCAGTTGGAGTGGGAATGGATGAAGCAGAGCACATTTGATTTGTTCAATTGATGAAGGATGTTATATCAGTTTGAAAAAATGTGTATTTTCAGCGTTTTAGAATCAAACATAAAAAATTTCACGTAAATTTTGGACGTTTAGCAGCCAAATACCATGATTTTCAGACACGGGAACAATTAAATGAGAGTGTATAAATACAACTCCGAATGCGTAAACATAAAAAACAATGTATAACTCGTTTGAGAAGAATTAAATGATCTTTTGAGGTTGAGAAAAACAAGTACCCATTCCAAGAGCAGAAAGCTCAACCTCGTTATGCTGTTGTATGTACCTCTGCATCAAAAAATAACCAATTTCAGCTAAGATCATAATTAATTCATGTAATGTGAATGAAGAGAATTAAAAAATAACAAACAGAGGAAGATAAAATAAAAAATAAGATCATGAAACGTAATAGATGATACCTTGGCGAGATTGACGTAAAAGAAAAGAGGTTTCTTAGTGTTGGAAACCTGAATTCTGTTCTTCTTGGGGGATTCGTTTGCAGTTACAGCAGCGCCAGCAGCTACGGTAGCCATGGTAACGTAATTCTCTGTAACTGTAACGGTAAAGTAGCGGAATGGGTTAGGGCCTCGTTTATATATTGGGACGAGGCCAGGACACGTGGCAGTGTATGAGGGGACGTGGACGGAGTAAGAGTAAACTGTTAAATTAGTTAGTTAGTTAGATTGCAGCTGCTGAGATGCGAAGATCTGCACGGTCGTTATTTTTTGGCCTGTTCCCGAAATGCCCCTCACCCCAATGGACCGATTCTTCTGCTCCTTCTGTTAAGGTTAAGGCCACAAACTATTTTGTTATCATATAATTGCAATTGGAAACAAACCTTTAATTTGTTGTTTTTCCTTCAATTATTGCGCATGTTATGCGTGCACCTTGTGCATTGCTGAACCCAAGGACCATTAATGCTATCAAATAACATCATAAGAAGCTATTAAATAAGTTTTAGTTACCATAGTATAATCACATTTAATTAAATTAACCGTAATTAAATACTTAAAAAATATTACTGTTTCATTAATGCTTTCCCTCATTTTATTTAATGAAGATACCCTACAATATGCGATCTTTTTCATAATCATAGGCACACGTGCAAACTTAATTCCATGCTTAATTTGTAAAGCCCATATTCTCGTCTTTTTGACATGCATACGTCTTGCGCGGCCACATTGATTTGGTGGTCCACACAAATTTCAATTATTCGGAGTATATCCATAACAAAAGAAGTAGCACTTTTTAATACCTATTTTTTTTAAATCCGAATAATTATATTTACTTTCGAGTTAGTCCTTATTAAAAGAAATTTAATAGAATTTTTTAAATCTAATCCTTACCATTTATTGATGTAATAATATTGACTAAAGAAATTGTAATATACTGAACTATAAAATAAGTTTAATTTATAGGCTAGAAAATATATTTGAACCTTCCTTAAGTTGATTTTGCTTCAGCTTAATGGTCCCTTGAATATTTGACAAAGAAAAAGAGAGAGACGTGGGATCTATTTGCACACGTGCGAAAGTTGTTGGATCTGGGACCAAATAAATATGATTCTTGCAAAGCTTAGTTCCGTGGAAGCATATGAAATGAGCCCACACGGCCTTTTTGCACAATACTAGTCCTTTTCTTTGTGACAAACCCCTAACGAAGAAGACTATAAGAGCATTGCCAACCGCTAACTTCACCAAATGATAATTAAAAACAACAATGCCATAAAAGTTACATAAAAATTTGGTATGTGTGAACATCGATTACCAGATGTACCTGTGCTCATTGCTCTAGATTTCATAACACAACACCATTTGTCTCTCCCACATCACGTTGATAAATAAGTTTAAGCCAATAGATGGTGCGCTTCATGATACCTAGCTGCAAATGCATACACCAAATCAAAGATGCAGGTATGGCCCTCTTTCTTTTAAACTTCTCAACCAAGCATCATGCATGTGATTGTTTGTTGATGTTGTATAGTGAACCCACCCAAGCATGATAAATGATTATTTGTAATAATCCTTGGAATGTATAAAACAATACCTAATAATATCTTCATTGGGTACGTCCTAAACCAATTTTTTTATAAATTTATAGGGGTTATTAGTGTAAATATGGGTTAGTATTTAATTTTTGTATTACATATCTTATTGCATAACACTAACATTATTCGTGGATAGCAAATAACATCCTTATATTCGTTCCATTTAATATCAATACTTAATGGTGTGATAATTCAATGATATTTTCTGTTTTCTGTTTTCTGCGGAATCCATTATTGTTTGGGTTTTGAATAAAATAAATTACCTTTATGTGATGATTTTAATGGTATAATCCTTATGAGATTCATAACTCTTTCTGTTGAGCGATGAAGACAGTTGATCGGTTGGATGCATCAGCGTGGGACACCTAGTTGATGAAATCAACTTGACAAAGTACAACCCCAAAATGGTTGCCTCCATCTAATACGATTGGCATTTGTAAAATTTATTATTTACCATAACTCAATAATCATTCATCAGTTAATTATATGATTAGCTACTTCATATATTGATATGCATGACCGTAGACACGGAGTCTAATACATATGTATCATGTGTATCTAATAGCAAGAGATTAATTCGAGATTACAAATGTGATATAACGATATGATTGATGATCCTCCACAATAATGCACATTATAAAACATTTTATTTGTTTGGAAAATGCTGGTCAACCACAGCATAAAGGTGTGATATATAAAATGAGAATTGTCACATAAAATAAGACTTTTACTATATAATAGTATAAAGAGAAACCCAATTGTACACGGATTCATTAGAATAATTATTTTATATATAAAATTGTCTCTAATCTGAAACTATCAGAGGGTGAGAAGGGGGGGGGGGGTTTAAGCTACTACACTAACCTAAGATCTTATGGCATATAAAATTGATTGAAACTAACATGTGTTGGGTGACACTTAAATGTCCTTTAATTATTAAAGCATAAACAATTAAAACCTCTGCGCGTTCTATGTAATTAATGATGCGTTAGTGTGTACTTAATTATACTTAAAAAAGAAAAAGGAGGTGTCGGTTGCATGGGAAATTCATTTGGAAAGCTAGTCGTTGTTGGTATCTCTCCACGATATGCACTGGACTTTAAGATGCCAGACATACAAAAGGATAAAATTAACTGTACATTAAATGGATTGTTTTCAAAATATAAATGTCACCCCTTAAAGACAATTTGAAGTATTTCAAAGTAATAAAAATTTATTTTTATTTCATAAATATTTTCAATAAAAAGTATACTTCATTTATTTAAAATCACTTTCAAAAGCTGATATTAATAAAACTTGTAAAAATAAAATAAAATTTATTAAAAGAGAAGAGCAACAGAAACTCCCACCTATTGCGGGTTAATCTTTCTACCCCCTTTCACGTCGTTCATTTGGTTACCATCATAAACTTGTTCTTTATGCCATTTCTTATGGGTGCAGAAAAAAAAAAAGTAGTTCAAAGGGTTCGTACAAAATCAATTAGCTTGTAGAGACATGGTAGGTCCCATGAGATGGGAAATTAAGTAAAAGGAACCATCCTATCCTATGGCCTACAATTCCTCGTAACAATTTACACTTGCCAATTTTCTTCAATTTTTCATTCCAAAGTCTAAATTGCTGTATATCACTCGGCAATAAGCCAATAAATCGTGTCGTTGTGAAGAGATTAAGGGTAAAGAATTGGAGACTGGAGAGGCCAATAACTTGGAAACCAAGGATTCAACCTTTTTCACTTTGCGGAAGTCTTTTGAACGCAGAGAAAATTGGGATATTCAAAAGTAAAGCAAAAAAGTAGGCTCACATTTGAAAGCAAAGGTCAAATTTGGCTAATTCTTCTAAGTTTGTTTACAATATACAGCAATACAGCTTAGTTTATTATATAGTAATAAACGTTGAACAAGAATTTAATACAGAGATTAATGATTAAAAATGTAATATAGTATCAAGCATTAAAATATGTATTGAAAATGCAAAAGTAACAGGACAAAGCATCTTTTTTAAGCATTTTTTTTCCCTCGTCGGTGCACAGCCAGTGAATAAGCAGCACAATAAAGCAAAGTTTGGCAAAAGGTTCTACATTGTTCTATAGGTAGGAACTAGGAGGAGAATAGATTCCAGCAATTGAGAGACAATTATATACAAGTTTCTATAAACGTTCACAAATTACAACCACAAGTACGGATTGTAAAACATACTAATACTACCATAATAGAGATCAATGAAGAATGTCTACAGACAAGTGACTACGAAGAAAGGACCAATAATTTTGACGTCCCTTTCTTGTTCAAAGAGAAACACAGATATAAATAGATGAAATAAAAAGGAAAATCTATATAGCAGCCGCAGGTGGATATTGGTTTCAGAGTTTAAATTATACACCAAAACAATGTAGGCATGAAGTAAAAGCTCTCAGAATATTGGTGATGAATTATTTGAACAATTAATTTAAGCCAGTACAATAGGTAATCTATGTTTGATAAAATTCTCTACCAGGTTATCCGCATTAAATAACAATATTACCAACATAGAAATGCTACTATTAAACAAACAAATTAATAGGTGGGGATTTCTCTCATTCTCCACAGCCTAGGAAACAAACAAATAAATTAATACGCGAGGATCTACTTTTTTTCGTAGTATTGTCTAATCTTATAACTATGGTACATGTTAGGAGAAATATAAATTCAGTGGTTGATCATTTAACAAAATTTTCTTTTACCTATAATGATTTTATTTGAGTTCAGATGGCTCTCTTCTATTACCTCTCTTCTCATGATAAATGTAATTGTTCCTGTCAATTTTTTATTATAATAAAAAATATTTTTAACATGTGTTTAGGAACAGAGAATAAAAACTTACATATTAAAACTTTTTATTGAAAATCATAAAATACAGTACATCCATAATATTAAATATTATATTTTTTAAATAAAAATGTGCTATTTAGTATCAATTCTTAATGTTTACAGTACACACATTACAAAAACTGAATAAAAAGAAACCTAAACCTGAAAAAGGAACCTTCTTTTAATGGCTCTCTATCTACTTAAAAGTGTTGCAGTACTTGATTTGGTTACCAATTAATAAGATGAGTAAATTGATGCTGAAATTATTAAGAGTTGCTATAACTAAACTGGAGAATGGTTTTAATATAGGAATTGAAATGGATGAGAGTGAGAAAGAAGTGTTTACCTCCTTTGCAGCTTGAAATTCAAAAAAAGAGGGGCGCTTTAGAAGATGAGCAAAACGAGAAAAAAGAGAAAAAGCGTGCCTGCAACCGTGCCGCTACTAACAAGGTGTGGGAGCAAGTTATAATGAAAAGGCGATGGAATTACCTATATACGAAGACACCATTTTCTAAATTGAACATAGCTTGCAATAGAAACTTCTCTGCTCGCATTTTCGTTCTATGATTTTGTTACCATATACTTGGCAAATTAAATTATTAAAACACACATCTAAGTACAAATCGCCAACTTAGCGCTCTCTCTAACTATATTTGTCTACTTTTGTACATATAGCTTGCTCAAGTTCATAATCTCCTTTCTTGGATACTTGACATTTTGACTAGTTCGCTCTTCGCTGTTCCGCTTCACTTTGAAGCCAATTAATTGGCTTTTCATCATCTAGTAAAGGTAATTTGATGTTTGTATGAATTATGGCATTTACATTTTATTTTGGAATTTTGAGTTTTGCTAATGGACTTTTTTTTCTCTTTAGGACATAGTTTTGGTAATCGGGTAGATATTTGGGTGTTATTTGTTTTTACAGTGTGTTTGGATTTGGGTTTGACACTACAAAAATTACATTCAAGAAGTAAACATGTTTCAATTACCGTGTCATGGTATTTAGAAAATAAATACAAACATGATCATGTAATCCGAAATTACTCTTTTTGTAATGAGCAATAAATAATGGTTTTTTTTTCAGACACATTTAGATTATAACGTTAATTTCATTAAAAAAACAAATTTATAAACTAAAATCGAGGCACACATTTAATCTTTTAGGTTTTAATGAATAAAAATGAGCATTTACACTTTGTTTGATTGAATTAAAAAAAAATAGAAAAAACAGTGTAAAAGCATATTTCTATGAAATATGAAAATAAATTCTTGTTTGATTGGATCAAAAGTGAAACTAGAAAAAATAACTTTTTTAGAATATATAATCATATCACTATTAAAATATATTTTTGTAGGCCTATTTAATGAAATAACAAAATAATAAATGATAGAATATGAAGTTTGATATATATTTAATGCATATCAAAATGATAAAATAGATATAATGATAATATCATTGATTAATACAATTATAATAAAATCTTACACTATCATTGATTTGTATAAATTGAAAAGAAAAATATATAGATATTTAAATAAAAAATATAAAAAGTCAGTTTTTGTTTGTTATTTTATTGATTTATTTTATATTTTTTTATGACTATATACAAAATCCATGATATATTATAGTTTTATTAAAGTTTTGTTAATTGTTGAATTAAAATTTGAAAGTGAAAGACTTAATTTATTTAAGTATTAAATATGAAATTAAAATTAAGAAACTAACAAGTATTAAAATTTAAGGATATTTACTAAATTTCTTAATCCTCGTGAAAAAAATCATTAACAACTGATATTCTAAAATGAATTAATGAAGTACGTTTTTGTTAATTGAAAAGTGACTTTAATTTTGATTTATTAAAAATACTTTCGTATTTGTATCTAATAATTTGCTGTTATTTGATTTTCTTTTTTTTGGAGGGGTCCAAAGATAAAATTTTCATCTTATGAAATTGCTATTATCGTCAAAGTAATTGAAGGGCTATCAAAACAGTATTAAGTAATGTAAAAGTATTTGATAACGTATTACAATTAAAACGCTGAAAAGGTAAAATTCACCTTAAAGAGGTTTTTAAACAACGATTATACAGAAGAAAATTGAAACTCGTGTTTGCATCAATTTGGAAATATGTTTTCAACATTTACTCGTCCGGAAGAAAACAAAAAGGGGTGCATTGTTGATTAATTGATTGATTATATACCTAACACTAAAAATTACATCTTCAAGATGTTACTTTTTATCTTGAGAATGAAGCTTGAGATTTGCAATGAGAACGAGAGGATGTGAACCAATCATACACAAAGCTGCATATACATGGAGTGAAGGTTAACACACACTTTTCCATCGAAATAGATCTTTTTATATCTATGTTGCATTCTATACATATATAGTTTCCATTGACATCACTTGAATGGCCATGTTAATGACATGGAATCTTTTAGTTTAGTGGCAAGGGTGTATCTTGAGCGTGATGCTTAAGTAGCTAGTATGTATCACGCAAATTTTTATTAAGCTCTTGAACTTGTCCACACTCAGAGAGACACATAGAGAAACAGATTTCATGTCCATAATAACATTCACGAGTTCTATGAAAGTTACATTTAATCTGTCACGTGATTTTACAATGTGGTTCCATGGCAGCATCCAGGACAAATATTGGGTTTGAATTACGTGAACATAGTTGTAGCGGTTGAGTTGATGATGAGTATTGAGTATGCATTTTTCCTTGTTAGTAGAACAGTACTTATTGGGTGCCTAACCTTTATGTTTGGTCAAATGGCACACAACAGTTATTAAAGATTGATAATAGAAACTTAGAAAAAAAAGAGGGAAAAGAAAGAAGGTTGATTTGCTGTTATTGTGCCCACCACCCATTTTTTATCCCTTCCTAACCCTAATTATCTTAGACAGACTCAGAGATTGTTGCTTAAACCTGTCCCTGATTATGACTTTTTAATCATTATGATCGTACTATCAAATTTGTCGCTTTACTTTGAAGAAAGAGGTAGAATACCCAAACAAGAAAGGCACTTCGATCTAGTTAAGAAAATAACTCCATTTTATTTTCTTCTTTAATTTGGTGCATAATAAGATAGTATCCAAACAATGATTCGACAAGAAAAATCAGGGGAACAGAATCTATTTTATTTTGCATTTGAGTTAACATAAATATATAATTTGCTATTAATGATTTTACATATCAAATGAATTTTATGCTGCATTTGGCGCAAAGATAAAATTTTACAACATAAGAAATGAACAGCAAGAATTAATAAATCAGAATAAGATGTTTATTCAAAACCCATTACTTGGTTAGATTACATGAAAATGACGTAAAAGTAATTTCACATTTTAGTGAATGATATACGATTCAAAAATGAATTTAAGTCTATGTAAATGAAATACAAAACTGTAATGGGAAAAAATATCAATTCTGTCTATATTATATTTATAATAGGAATATTTGTTTTTTAAATATTATACTCAAGATTAGTTATTTAACAACTTTATAACAGAAAAAATACATAACATTTCTTCTTTTCCACTACTTTTTTCTTAGCTTAGAATTAATATGCTATAATTAATCGTGATCTTATACTTTGTGATGTTGATACAATATTAATTTTAATCTTGTGGAGAACCTGAAAATATAATATAACAACTAAATAAGGATATATTGTTAAAAAAAATTGCCAATCCAACGATACAAAAATGCAAAATATCAATGTCCTTAAGAAATATAATATTTTGTGACTTTTTTATATAAAAAATTATCAAAATATAATATTTTGAAAAAAATTATCAAAATATAATATTTTGAAAAAAATTATAAAATATATTAAAAAATTTATGACAATGCAATTTTTTTATTTTTAAATTTTCAAGATATTTTATAACTTTACCTGTACTATATCTACATTTATCTATATCGAAATTGTTATTTACAATTTCTGAATATAATATTTATGTAATTTTTTTTGAAAATATTATATTTAAAATAATTAACCAAAACTGGTCCCTTTTTATATATTCTAAAATGTGATTCTATATAGTTTTTAATATAATTAGTAAGCATAATTATACTAGTATGGTTTATGTTTCATAGTAAAAAAGAGTTAGCCTCGAAAATATGAAAGTTTGGAGGGAATGAAAGAGCATTGTTTTGGTGGAGAAAATGGTGCACTTGTCTATAATTGTTTCGCTATATTAGGCATATCTACAAGACCAGATGCCTTATCTGTTTGATGATGATATCATAAGTGTCCCTTTTATTTTTTACATTTTACTACTAATTTTCATTTGACTTTAACCTCACTCTGTTGAAACTTGAAAGCTCCACTGTCATTTTAACGCCGTCAATTCCTGGGTTCCGACAGCCAACGGAGGGGAAAAATATCGCCGTTAAAAACCGATCTATAAATAACCTTAAACCAACGAAGGAAGGGAGTAAACAGAAACAGAGAGAAAAATGAAAAAGGAGGTTTTTCATAAAGCAAAAGAATATTATTGATACATAAATTTTGGACTTTGTTTGTATTTGGCACCCACCCACAGCAAAATAAAACAAAACAAGCACACAACCAGAGAAAGAGAAGAGAGAGAGAGAGAGAGAGAGAGTGCGAGAGAAGGAGGAAGAAGAGGCAGCATAAGAAGATCTTGTGAGATCAGGCCACAACTGTAAGCTACATTTCTCACATTCTTAGCTGATTCTGTTCCCATTTTCTGCTTGTTTTTCTTCTGCTTTGCAATGTGAGTCGATCTTTGTTGCACCTAACTCAGCTTGGCGCTGCTGTGGAGAGATTTTTCTGCCATTTCCACTTTCCTGTGTCTGTTTTTCTGATTTGTGATGTGGGTTTTTCTCTGCGTGTTTCCTTCTTTGATCTTTCTTCTGATTTGTTGTTTCTGTTACCCACCTGTGAGTGCTTACTCCAGGGAACTTCATCTTCTTTCACCACCAAATGTGAACCTTTTCCTTTTCAAAATGTTCAGAATGGGGATACCCATGGTCAAAAGTGGAATTCAATATTCTTTTTACTATTATATGCTTTTACTGTTCCCCTCCCCCTGCCTGTTTACTATTCTTCCCTTAATTTCTTCCTTTGTTGGGTTCGTGTTAAGCTTTTTTCTATCCTTAGCCACAATTTTTCTTTCTCTTAAAAAGGTTTAATTTTTAGCTTCCTCTTCTTTCCCAAGTTCTAAATATGTAAATGTTTATTTTTGTAGGTCGAATTAGTCCGTTTGCATCTTCCAACCATAAGGAAACTTTGTTTTCATTCACTTGATTATTTTACGGTGTTGATATATTTTCTTTTTACATTCCATCTTAAGATCGATCATGTTAGAGTAGCTTCTTAATTGTTTTTCCGGATCCTTGCATAAAATTTTTCGGGGGTACTTCTGAATGATTTTGCAGTTGTTACTTAGAATCATACCTTGTATTGTACCCCTTCTGAAGATGAGAAGTTTCTTTCTTTTTTGCCCCCTAAAAAATGGAACAATAATATTATTATTATTTGTGATTTTGGCCATTTTATCAACCCCCTGCAACCTTCAAATGTTGTTCCATTGTCTTATTGAACTGGGTAGTCTCTTGGTTATGTTTAAATCTTATTAGGAAGAAGAAACTTCTATTTACCATTTTTATCTTTATGAAGAAATTAAACTCATCCCTGAATTTTTTACCTTCATCTTAAGTACAGTTTACTGAGCCTACCTTAAAGATATGAAGTAATTTTGTGTTCACTCTCCAGTGCATACGTATAGTCTTCTATTTTAATTTTTAATATTTTTTGAGTTTTTAGGCTGATAGATGACACCTATACATGCACAACTAGAATGCTAGTACATTAACAGAAGTTGTTGTTAATCACAATGTAACTTATATTGTGCAGCATCATGGGAAGAGAAGTTGCAGAGATACAGGTTGTGGACAAGAAACCAAATGGTGTTGTAGCAGCTTCAAATGGTAGTTCTAATGGTAAAGTGCGCATTTCTCCTAAAATTGCAACAGCTAAGGTTCAAGCAAAGGATTATGAGTTAAAGGAATGTACTGAAGCCAATACTTTTGTTGAGAAATGCCATGAGAAGGATGTTTTGAGTGCCAAAACCACAAACTGTAATATTGTTGTGCTTGAGGAGGAGATTGAGAAATCTGAAGTGCTGAGAACAAGTGACAATGAAAAGTTAAGCTCACCTCCTGCAAGAAAAGAGCATACAAGTCACTCTGTTCCACAGCCATCTGATCTGGTTACTGAAAAGCTTGGATCCCATGCACAGATTGTTGATACTGAAGTTGTTGCAACTGATCTGAATTTGTCCCCAAACACTAACAACATGCTTTCGCCTATCTCATCAAAGAATTCGCAGGTAATTGATGGTCTTGCTTGTTGTCATGTCATTGCATTTTGATGTTGAAGCATTAAACACATTAATTCAATCGTACTCTGAGAACTGAACCAAGGATGCATAGTGGACCTAGCATGTATTGTGCTTAAAAGTTGTAAATAGGTTGTTTCCAGTTATATTTGAGGAATGAGAAGGTAAAGTTGTTAAAGATAACAGAACTGGGATCTTTTTTTGGTTTTAGTGCATGCTTGTTTGTGTAATATGTTTCTTCAACAGAGGATTAGTTACTCCAGCTGTCATCGCTTAAACAAGTAAGCCTCTTAAGGGAATCTTTATAAAGCAAAAAATGAATATAAATCATAGGCTTTTGATTAAACCTTGAGACATGCATTGCACTGGATCAATTTCTAATCCGTTCAATCTTGGGAAGCTGAAAATATCATGCCTAACAAATACATAAAATGGTTTGCTTCACAAGCGTTGCTAATTTGTTAAGTTTCATGTTTTGATGTTTGCAGGGATGCTTTGCTTTGCAGTTTCATGTGTGCTATTTGTGTTTATTTATTTGTTTGTTTGTGAGATTACTTATTTGCAAAAGCTTTTTTTTTTCATATTTTTCAGCCAAACTCACCTTTTTCATCAAGTAAGCCCTTGCAGCTTGATGATAAGAAGAACTATGATGATGAAGATAGTTGGTCTGTTGCTTCTTCGTATCCTCTAAACTTGAACATTTTGATGGTTTATGGTGAACATAGAAAGTTTTAAGGACACTAAAAAAACCTTTGACACAATATTTCTAAAGGCTAAACATTTACCTCTTATCTATGAATTTTAGTCAGAAATATTTGGATTTTGGAACATTGAACGGTACCTGCATATAAAATAATACTCTGCTATTCTATTACTTGTTCCTTGACCACAAATATTTGTGCTCTATCTATCTATGCACACTGCTAGATCTAAAGGCTAAACATTTACCTCTTATCTATGAATTTTAATAAGAAATATTTGGATTTTGGAACATTGAACATTACCTGCACATAAAATAATACTATGCTATTCTATTACTTGTTCCTTGACCACAAATATTAGTGCTCTATCTATGCACACTGCTAGATCTATAGGCTAAACATTTACCACTTATCTATGAATTTTAATCAGAAATATTTGGATTTTGGAACATTGAACATTACCTGCACATAAAATAATACTCTGCTATTCTATTACTTGTTCCTTGACCACAAATATTAGTGCTTTATCTATGCGCACTGCTAGATCTAAGGTAACTCTAGGTTCAGCCCCAACATTTAGATGCTCAGAACGTGCAGAGAAACGGAGGGAGGTAATACATTGACTGAAAAAGTAAATTCTGATGTATATATTCTTTGAAGCAGATGATCATTCCTTATTGATGTTATCATTTTTATTTATCTACCCAGTTTTATCTGAAGTTAGAGGAGAAACATCGAGCCCTTCAAGAAGAAAAGAGTCAGTATGAGGCTAGGCTAAAGGTATGGTGGTCTTTCTCTTGTAATTGCATGACGCTTTCTGTGTTATTTTTAAATTTTTTTTCACTGTTTGCTTTTCTCTCAGTTTCCTCTTACTAGAAACATCTCACCCCTTTTACCAAAGCTGGATTTTTGCCCATGCACATGATTATTTGCTTTATGTTTATCCTCCTATGTTACCTTCTACACATTGAACTGATAATAACTACTAATGATAGGAAGAGCAAGAAGCAGCTATCAAGCAGTTGAGAAAGAACTTGGTAATTAAAGCAAATCCAGTACCAAGTTTCTACTATCAGGGGCCTCCACCTAAGACTGAACTCAAGAAGGTACTTTTCTTCTGCTCTATATGCCTCTTCTAATACCACAAGAAATTTTGAATATTCACTTGAAGGTGGCAATACGACGGAATATTCTTAAGAATTTTTGTTCGACACTAATTAACTAAAACACGTTATCATGCATTACATCATTTTTGGATCTTTCCAAATAGGAGACACAATCTCTAATTTGTGAAAGACATTTTGTTGGAAAAATTATTCAGTTTCCTTTGGTGACAGCTGCCACTGACTCGCCCCAAGTCACCAAAACTAAGTCGGCGAAGGAGCTTAGGTGATGCAATGAACTCATCTCCTGATGTTTGCAGTCGAGCACGGCACAGCATTGGTGGTCCTCACATCAAAGGTGGTTCTAATGGCCCTTTCACTCAGAAAAATAGGGAGCAGATCATTCGACGCAACAGCAATGGCGCTTGCAAACCAAAAGAACGATCAAAAGTGGATAAGGAAACAAAAACAGCTCCTCCTAAGATCACTGAGCACACAAATGCAGATATATCAGTACAATCATGACTGAGAGGAAAATACCCTTGGTTTTCTTTTCATCGGGACTGACTTTTGCGTTTTGTGTTAACTTGAGGTGTATATGTTTTGTAAGTTATATTGCTACACATTATCTCTTATATAATGATAGAGTTGTTTATGTAATATGTCTGCACCAAAGTATGAGGTTTTCCCAGATTAGTCCCCGGGATTTGGTAATTAAATATAAGTCCTTCTGCAGGACTAGCATTAGGGACGTGTTATACGGTTTCATCTTATGTGTAATGGGTGTGTTTTTCATATCCTCATCATGTGATGCACCTTTGTTCCGGAATGCAGTTTGCTTTTTGTTCTTATTCTTGTTTTGTGCGCTATTAGTTTTGTATGGCCCAAAAATGAGATTGATATTATGAAGAAATACTAAATGTGAAATATTGCAATGTTTAGAAATTGTTGATTACTAGTTATTACCATTATCATGAACTCAAACATCGAAGATATCGGCACATACTCTATTACCATTTATCATTGAATGGGAATGACAAAGGAGCATGTTACCATGTACTGTACAATTTCTTTCAAATGCTACAATCTCAGATGACCCACCTGTCGGCATCTTAATATTTTATCCCAATTTTTTAATATAATTTCAAACAAGCAAAGGATTAAATTTCCCTCAATTGTTTCCTTCATCATTAAGGGTTTCATTTTTCCGCAAAAAGAAATTACACCGTTTAAAAAATTAAAATCCACTTTGACATCGAATTTAAAAAACAAACAAAAACGACAACTCAGTAAATATGTTAATCCTGATTCATGTAGTTGCATGGATGCAAACTGTCTGCAGGGGAAGCAAACAAAAACCATGAAGATGCAGATAAAGGCAACTTTATTTTCCAACAGGAAGTTAAAGAGAACAGCAAAATGAAACCAGTAGAGACCGTAACAAATGCATAACCGTCTGTTAGATTTCTAACAAAGAAATTTACAGCAATAGTCCCCTACAAATATATCCAACTATCTATCTATTATACTGACAACCAACCCGAATACATAACACCAACACACCAACACACCAAATCAAAACCCAATCAACCCTAACCCCCTCACTTCTTAGCCTTCTTCGCCGGCGATTTAACACTCTTTGGCTTCTTTGCACTCTTTACTGGCGTCTTCCTCGCTGGCTTAGCAGCAACCTTCTTCGCAACCGTCACCTTAGCCGCCTTCGCCTTTGGCTTAGCACTTGACGCCGTGGTCTTCGCCTTGGGCTTGGCAACAGCCTTAGTTTTAGCTGCAGCTTTGGGCTTGGACGCAGCAGCCTTGGTACTGGGCTTAGTCACAGCTTTAGGCTTCTTAGCAGCAGGAGCAGGAGCAGCTTTAACCGGAGCCGATCGAGTCGGCGCGAGCTTGAATGAGTTTTTTACTTTAACTAGCTTGCCTGAGGCTACAGCCTTCTTGAGCTGGTGGAGAATCAGCTTACGAAATGTTGGAGGCAACTCCTTGTGCTTCCCTTCAATAAACTTTGTTATCGCATACTGGCTCGAACCAGTTCTCTCCTTTAGACTTGCAATAGCCTCTGTTATCATCTACAACACACAAAAAATTAACATTAAAATCAAAGTCAAAATAAATACAAATTCAAGATTCATTGGCAATGAGTAATTGGAAAATACCACGGCAAAGGGAGGATGAGAGAGTGGCTTCTTAGTCGCCGCCATTTTTCTCTTGGCTTTGGCTTGCGCTGTGGTGGACATGGCTTAATTGGAGGGTTAGAGGATGAGAAAGTGAGAATAACCGCTTGAGAGGGGCACTAGCGTTGATGGATGAGAACCGGGTGGGGAGTCATTTATATATAAGAAGGAGAGAGGGAAATGGTGAGCGCTGATTGGTGGAAAAGAGGGTCACACGGATCCTGAACGTTTGGCGATGTTTAAATGTGGGCCTTTCGATGGAGGGTTATCTACGGTGGAGATTGTAAGTTAGAGGAGGCACTTGGATTGCGTTTAGTTAACTTTTGGTGGAGAATAGGATGAGAGCTACTTTGCTCCTTTGGTTTTGGGTTGGGTGTGTTTTTTCCATGGTTTTCATTGGAAAATCGCACGTGCTTCAGCCTAAGGATTTTATCAACGTTTTTGTGATTCTGATGGCCGGCGTCTCAGCATTTTAACCATTATCCATTTCCCTTATCTTCTTCCATAAATTTCGGAAAATCTTCTCCATAACTTCTCATGTGTCCGACCTCAGGTTTTGTACTTCAAATCTTGTCTTGCAAGCCGTTGAATGGATTCGTTTTCTTTGAATTCTCCTTCAATGCCACTGGAGTTTCGTTGTTCGTTGTGCGAATCCAATGCCTAAGCTTTACAAGATAGATGTCTATGGTTGCTACCATTTGGTTGCTCTTTTAAGTTGTTTCCATTTCCTGAATAGGAAGAGGCATAAATATTTACATTGAATGCTTATTTTTATTTTCTCTGTTCTCACTTTTTCTCACCTAAAGAACATGAAATATATATTAAAACTTAAAATTAGCATACTTCAAAAAATTTCAATAAACAAAAAAATATTAAACTATATATAAATTAAACAAGTTGAGCTCTTAGTATACAATAGGTAGCATAATCTAAATGACTATAGTACACATAACAGGTAGCATGAGCCTAGCTTTGCTACCTTGTTTCCAACAGGTTGCTATAGAGCTGGCAACAAACTAATAACTAGGAAGAGCAATCAAAGCATTGCATGCTCAAAAAAGCATCTCAAATAGTTGGTTTAGTAATCTAGAAGATTCACTAGCTTCCTGGAATTATGAAACTCTTTCTTATAGCAAGGCAATCATCCCCAATCACATGTCATTTATCATTATCGCCCGCTTGGGTTAACAATTTGAGAGAAGATGGCAGAAGATTTCTCACTGGACTCCTGCCTAAGCTCATGATCACTTCCAAGGCTTAGATTTTTATAATGAGCTGCCATGTCATTATTTTCCAAGCTTACTTCTTCAAACTCGGCTTCATCAAGATGTGAAGAACGAACTAAACCATCAGTGTTACCAAGTAGGTTGAGAGCAAATTCAAGATTCCACAATAGATCATTCATGGAGGGGCGATCAAGTCCTTGATCAGACAAACACTTCTCAGCTGCATCTACAAACTTCTTCAAGCTTTCAGGGTTGATGTTTCCTTTGAGATTGGGGTCAATAATATCATCTAGTGTTCCTTTTCTTTTGTTGAGCAAAGCCCAATCTGCAAGGCTAACTTGTTCTTTTGGAAGGCTAGGATTCAAAGCAGGCCTTGCACAAAGGACCTCAAACAGGACAACCCCAAACGAGTACACATCAGATTTCTCAGTCAACTGTTGCCTCCTGAAATATTCAGGATCCAGGTATCCAAAGCTACCCTTCACCACAGTACTAACATGACCATTGTTCATGTTTGGACCCGTTTTTGACAATCCAAAATCTGAAACCTTGGCAATCCAATTTTCATCAAGGAGAATGTTAGTTGTCTTGACATCTCTATGAATTATCGTATACTTTGCCCCCGTGTGAAGGTAATGAAGGCCTCTTGCAGCTCCAATGCAAATCTCCAACCTTTGCTTCCATGATAGAGTGTTCAATGTCTTGTTGCCCTTGTAAAGATGTTCTCTTAGGGTGCCACGAGCCATGTAGTCATAAACTAGACACATCTCATCATCTTCCTCACAAAAACCAATCAAGGACACCAAATGCTTATGTCTCAGTTTGGAAAGCATCTCAATCTCAGTCTGGAACTCGTTGACTCCTTGTTCTGATTGTGGGTTCGATCTTTTTATTGCCACTTTGAACCCATTGTCTATAACACCCTTATAAACCTTTCCGAACCCTCCTACCCCAATAACGTTGGACTCATCAAAATTCTTAGTCGCTTGCTTCATCTCTTGTAAGGAGAAATAGCGACACAGTCCTTGAGCCATGGCTGATACGTTGCCACTACCAACAGTACTCTTCCCTGACCTTGAAGATTTGGTACCTGTTGTGTGCGAAGTCCCATAAATTGGCAACCAGCTTGATGTGCTAGTGTATGATCCAGGAGTTCTCTTCTTTTTTTGGTGGCGAACAACAACACATAATGCTGCCACTAAGGCAAAACCAGCAGCGCCACCAGCAGCACTACCAATGACAAAAGTCTTACTGTTACGTTTGTTGTTTTGGAAAGTCCTTGCTTTATGCTCATGTTCCAATAGCATCTCGGATGGTTGAGGATTAGGACCAGACAGGTTTGTATCATTGATCTTGAAAACCTCTACACCATTGAGTATTGCATCATAGTATTCTGGCTTTGTATCAGGTGCCGGGTGCAAAGCAAGCCAAAGCTGATCATCACCTGTCCCATCTTGGACATATACTACATAATCTTTGTAGGTTGGAACTCCTTTACCTCCACTCCACCCAATCACATCTGCTTCAGCCTGTGCCGTTTGGTTGTTGATGAAGATATTGAAAACAATCTCGTTCACTTTAGAATAGTAGTAGTCACAGAAATGCAACCTGGTAAGGTACATGGAATTTGGATCAACTTGGAAAATCCATGTGAGATTGTAGCCCATGTTGATATCCTTATCGTTGCCCATGGACCGTGATGTGGAATACACATTCGGTGGAGCAATGTGTTGTGGCATGCTCTGGTAGTTAATTTTTACATCCTTGGCAGCTTGATTGGTGACACCAGTGGCAGCACCATATAGATAAGGTGTATCATCATACCACATCCTGCTTAGACCAGAATCATCAACAGGGGATATATATTGCCCACCAACGTTTAATCTAAACATTGTCTGAAAATGCAAACTTTTGGCATCAACGGTTTGCTCATTATAACCCACCAACGAAGCTGAGTCAAACAACTCAGGCATTTCAATCAGCTGAATCCCATTGACAAAAGCAAAAGCCCCATTGTGTTTATCAGAAGGCTTAAAGGTAACGGTTAGGGTGTCTGAATTCAAAGGCGCAAGGGAATACTCTCTATCAAGGTAGGCTTGTGAGAGGGCTTGGCATGTGATTGAGGCACTGAAATTAGAAAGAAGAATTACCCCATGTGCTGTCACGGAGAAATATGAATTGAATGTGTCATAGGTGCCATAAATATTGGGGTAGAAATGAAGCCTTAGCCAATAACGCTTGTCAGGTTTAACAGGGAACTTGTAGATTGCTTCGGATGTGAAAACTCGAGATGTCATGTATGGAACCTCAGACAAAAGTGAAGGGTCTTGGAAAGAGGCTTTGGATGTGATGGAATTGCCTTCTGAGAGGTACTTGTTATCAGGGATCCATTGCCTTCCATCAGCATCTTTGCCACCACCTTCACCCAACCCGCACCCCAAGATCAAGGAATCACTACCCTTGTCACTCGTTGCAAGAAGGGCGTTCAACAAAACAAAGAAACAAATCACCAGCAAAAGACAGATACGGTTGCACATAATTGGAGAAAAAGAAGAATACATCCTCAAGGATGTGTGCTGGAAAATATATCGCTGGGTTATGAGACAAGAATGAAGGGTTTTTCGTTTTCTTGTATGGTAGAAACAAAAAACAGGTTGTAGGATTTGAGTTTGCGGTATTATGGTGGAATGAAAGGGTGCAACTCTATTATTCTATCATGACCATACATGCATGTGTAAAATCTATCTATATTGATAGGACCAGACCATAGTACGAAAGACAAGAGTGAACTTATTATAATAATTTTAATTCGTGGCATAACGAGGAGGGAGTTACTACGGTTTGGTCTTTTGTTCTGAATTTCGATTTTAGGAGTTTTTTTTGTTCCTCTTTGTTGAATGTTAACGTCCCATGCTTGAGAATAAGGCAGTTAGAAACCGACGATGGGGAGAGAGGATCGTAATCAATGGAATTTGATTCGTTATTCCGATATTCTTTGGATCTAAAACCGATGATCTAGAGCTATATTTAGCATTCCATTCTAATAGAATTTTGTGGAGTGTTGTTGTTTGCTCACAGTTTCTCATTTCCCATTTAAATTGGGTATATCAAGAAAACAACACAAGATGCCACAATTTTGACCAGAATGTTGTTTTAAAACGCTTTTAAGTTCAGTGGAGCTTCTTATAACAAATTACCACCAAATATGAGTTTAAATATAATGAACGTTAACTCTAGTTCTAAAATTAACTAGTGAATATATATACTCATGCTTGTACAGGTTACTTATATGTTAATGAAAAATATTTGAAGATTTATTACATATGTTTACATATAAATTATTATATAAAGAAAAAAAATAATAGAATAAAAATATCAAGATTCTATAAAAATAGTCTCTCCAAGAAACTTTGCGAAAAAATGGAATATGTTAAGTTTGATAAGAAGGAATATAAAATGGAGTAAAATAAAATAGACGTCACTTCTTAATATGTTTTATTAGAGATAAAATGTAATGGTACAAATGAAAGATTATTATTATTATTACTACTATTAATTATTATTATTATTATTATTATATATGTGTGTGGGGGGTATTTAGAAATTATATATACTAAAATATGATGTTTTTTAAAAAAATTACAAAAATATAGAGTTTAGACAATTTTTAAGTGAAAATACAAAAACTCATATATAAAAAATTAAACAAGTCATGAAGTTTTTTAAAATAATAATAAAATATAAAAAAATATAAAAAAAAATAATCAAAAGTTGTTAATGACTATTTTAAAAAATTATATTTCTGTAATTTTGCCAAAATTCCGTGTTTCTGTAATTTCAGGAAAAAAAAAACCATATAAAAATATGTCTCAGATGAACAATTTTTTATATTAATTTTATCACATTATAATACTTTTTCTTTCACTTTATTCAGGAAGTTCGAAATGGAATCAACTAGCTAGTTATATTTTATGTTATTTGTTACCATGTTATTCACTTTTTCAATCAATTTAACACTAACTCTATTCAATTCCACACAATAATATACAAATTTTATTTCATTTCACCCATCATTAAATATGTAATTATAGTTGAATAATCAAAATTTTAACAAATTAATTTAGCGTTATATAACATATAATTTGCTAAATAGAGTTTGTATCTAAATATTGTGTATGTATATAAGTCACTACTAGAATTTTAGGATTCTTTGCAAAATTTTCTTCAAAAATGTATAAAAAATTGACAGAAAAACATATTTCATATAAATTTTACTGCAAATTTGTTGTAAAAAAAAATCTTTGTAGATAATTATGTCTGCAAAAGTAAAATATGCAGTAATCTTCTTATAAATTTTAATAGAAATAAATTTATAAATATTTTCCTGCAAAAATAATTTACAATAGAATCTCTAAAAAATATATACAAATAAATCTGCAGATAAATCCTAAAAAACATTTACAGAAAAATTTGTATATAATTTTTTTATGAAAGAATTATAAAAAAATCTCAAGATGTTTTGCAAGTATTTTTATTTTTTTAAGGAATTTGTAAGAAAGTTCATAAGTAAATTTCTTACAAATTTATTAATGAAAAATTCCTTAAAAAATAAGGAAAATTTAAAAAAAATTATACAACTAATTTTATAAATAAATTTATAAAAAAAATTTAACTTTATTCTATTGTCATCAAATTAATATAAATCTAAATTAATTCACAAAAATTAGATAAAATATTTAAAATAAATTCCTAATAATTTTTATAAAAATTTTATAAACCATTAAACTACTAAAATTTAAAACAAATGATCATGATATTTATTTTAATGTATGTTCACGTCTAATATAAAAAAATGTAAAAAATAATAATCACATATTATATTAAATATAATTTTTAAAACTATTATAATTATTACAATCAAATATTATTATAATTATTGTTATTTTTACTATTATGATGGGTGATGACAATGGATGAGAACGAACTGCAAAAATTTCAAATATTGCATCAAGGTCATTGATTTTTTTTTTTTAATATTACTTAACTCTTTTCTCATTTTTATAGTTTTGCTCAATTCCTTTCTTATCTCTAACTTCTTTTGATCTTGTCTTTTTAGTGACTTATTTAGAGTTTGAACTTGACTTTTAATTACATCAACATCCTTTAAATTTACCTATTGACTTGAAGATGCAACTAAAGTCTTACTTAGAGATCCAAGACTAAAGATTTTTTCTTTCTTCTTTCCACCAACCAAGTTACCCATATATCAATATTAGGTGGCATGCTTATCAATTTTTTGCTACCACGATTATTATCCCTTCCTAAAGATGAATATTGAAAAGATAATTCAAGTTTCGTTTGTTTAAATATTCCCTGCATCAAATTGGAATAAAAATAAAAAAGTTTAAGGTAACAACTAGCTTTAATGGTTAGTAAACACATAATTAATGAGTGCAAACATCATAGTAAAACATATATTAACATAAGTTATAATGACACAAGACTTACATAAGCAAATTTCGCATAAGGATCCATCCAACTTTGATCCTTTCTTCTAGTAGTGGGAAAATAAAAATAAATTAGTGATGAAAACTATATAATAAAGTTTGAAAGTTTCTAAAATCTAAAAGCATTATAAGAAAAAGCAAAGTGATAAGAGAGAAGGAGAGACCTGAACTACGATCCCAGCATGGAGCTGTAAGAATTTGAAGAATTACAAAAATTTGTGAAAATATTAGGAGAGTTAATGAAAGAATGGACAAGAGTAAAAACGGTGAAAGTAAGAGAAAGTTACTCACAATTAGTTTTTAGTTAAAAATCAACTTTTAATCTTTTGTAAAAATTTCATAATTTAATATTACATACAATATTTTTTTTATTTTAATATTTAATAAAAAATATATTAATATTCTTTTATAACTTCAATAATGATAAAAATTAACTTTAACAAAATTATACAAGAGTCCAAATATAAATTTTTTTTTCATAAATACTAAAATAATAAGTAAATCATGTAAAAAATTAAAATTATTATTTAACTTAAAATCAAATAATATCTTTTGTCAATAGAAATTTTTTTATTTAAATTAATATAAAATTTTCTTAAATTATTTATAAGCATCTTTAAATTATTTTATATTTAAAAAAAATGAATTTCATTTCTTTTGTAATAAGAAAATTAGTTAATTATTTTTTTTGTGAATAAATAATATTTTTATTTTAAATTTTTAAAAAATTTATGAATTTTGCTACAAATATTTTTTTACACTAATTTTAGAAATAAAATTATAAGATCATTAACTTTTTCTACAAATTTATATACAATTTTTTTATAAAATTTTTTACACAAAAATTTACAAGAAATATTAAGCTTTTTCTACTCTTTTTATTCTTAGGAAGTAGGAAGTTTTAAGTTGCTAACATTTTTTTCTCAAAATTTTCTTATGAAAATGTTGAAAAAGAGAGAGGAAATCATGAGTTTTTTTACCTTTTTTTCTAAAATTTTTTGTAAAAAACTTAATAAGTTATTGCAAATTTTTATACTAATTTTTTTTTATAAAAAATAATCAAAATTTCTCTAACTTTGTATGAAAGTTTTTATAGGAATTTTTTGAGAAAAAATATTCGCAAGAAAAATTTGCAGATAATAATCACAAATCTAGTAATAAATTGATTGATTAATTTATTATTAATTGATTTTATCCTTTAAATGTTTGTGATATCAAATAAATTATAATAAAAATATTTTTTTTATTTCATAATATTTGAGACAATTATACTATATTACAATACATGATTAGAACTTTAGTTTTTTCTTGCAAAATTTTTTGTAAAAAAATATGAAAATTTTGCAGAAAATTATATTCACTACAAAACTTGCTACAAATTTATCATCACAGGAAAAAGTTTTGTAGGTAATTATTTTTGCAAAAAATAAAATCTGTAAGTAACTTTATTGTAAATTTTAATAGGTATAAATTTGTAAATCATTTCTTAAAAAATTCAAAAAAAAAATGCCGATAAATCTATAGGTAGATGAAAGAGGAGAGCATATTTTGATATCTCCTTGACACACATTTCTTTATACTAATAAGACCAGTTGCACCTTCATTTCATTTCAAGTTGTGTTTTTTTTTTTAATAATTTTTTAAAAGTAAAATATTTTTTTTTTGTTAAGATGAGTTCTTAAAAACTATTTTTAAAAAATAATTTATTATTATTATTTTTAATATAACAGATAATAAGTTTTGCGTGAACTTATTTGTTTTGAAAATTAAACTAACAAACAAGTTTTTATTTTTATTTTTAAAATTATTTTAAAATGTAATATTTTTTTTTAAAAAAATAAAAAATAAAATAAAAAATAAGGCTTAAATTTTTCTTAATAATTTTATCCTTAAGAAACGATGTAGAAAGTTTTAAGGATTGTTATAAATTTTTCTTTAAATCTTTTCTGCTAAGGTTGTAGTTAAAAAAAGAGAGAGGAAAATATGAGCTTTTCTTGCCTTTTTTCTCAAAAAAAAAAAAAAAATTGTCAAAAATATAATAAATTGCTGCACATTTTTATAAGATATTTTTTCACAGAAAATAATCAAAACATCATAAATTTTCTAAATAAAAATATGCATGCAATAACTAGAATTTTCGTAGTGGTAATTTTAAAAATAAAATAAAATTAGTGTCAGGTAATTATTTATAACTAAAATAATATTTTCAATCTTAAAAATATTACTATGACAAAAAAATAATTTAACTTGTGCACTATTTATGTAAAAAAAAAAAATACCCTTAACCAATTATAATATATTGTTAATATATTTTATAGTCAGTGATCTTTATGACATCACAATTCAAAATCAAATAACAATAATTAAAAAATTTTCACACCGTAAATGTATTTGAATTAAATTTAAAAGAATAAAAATTATAAAATGGATAAAATAAATAATATTTATTTACTCTTTAAAAGTGTTGATTTAAATATGATATGAATTTTTTTCTACAGTAATATCTTATGTATTGTTCATTGATATTATCTTTTAAATATCTTTGACTTCATAGAAACAATATTAATAATTTATTATTTATAAACATTGCTTTATTATTATTGTGTAATTTTAATAAATTGTATTTTATTTTTTTTGATTTTTTTGTTACTGAATAATATACGTGTTTTTGAATTATTTCTCACTTTCAATTTTGGCTTTCTCATGTTTTGATTTTATCAAATGTAATTTTATACTGTAGTTTTTAACATATATGATAATTTCTTTTGTTATAATAATCATAGAAGTAAGAAAGAAAATAATATTCAAGATTTGGAGAATCAAATTATATTTACAACCTTATAAATCAAAATAGATTTTATAAGATAATTTTCATTTCATACCAATTAAAACAGGTAATAATTATTTTGACCATTGATATAAGTAAGTTTCTTATTGGATATGACTTTTCTTATTTATTCTAGGGGTTTTGTTTAAATAAGTTGTGAATAAGTTTTTATAAAAGAAGAAAAATAATATAAAAAATCAATAAAACTACTTTAGAAGTTAAAATTAACTTGTATTTATTTATTTTTTAGAAAATAATATTATTTAATTTATCTAAAACTTAAGAAGATAAATTATTTTTAACTGATTTAAGAATTTTATTTATTTTATATTATTTTTCCTAGTTTAGCTAAAAAGAAGCTTAGTGAAATATTATTTAGATACTTACTATTGTGATAATTTTTGTAAATAGTTTAAAAACTATGGATAGAAACAATAGTACTATATTTTTTAAGGTGCAAGGATTGCTTTCTTTTATGCTTTTGTTTGGATTAAGGTATTTAGAGGGAGGAAAATTAGGGAGAAAGAAAGAAGATTTAGGTGTCTGAACAAAGCCAGAAGATAGAAAAAGGAAGGGACTTCATGACTTCGTTTTTAGTTTCATTTATTTTATTATTTAAATATTTCTATTTAAAAAATATTATAATAAAAAGTTGACATTTTTAATTAATTTGATTATTATTATTATTATTATTAATATAATTTAATTATTTTTATTTTTACTAATTCAATTAAGCAAAAAGATCATTTTATTTTCTTCTAATCATATTTTAACTCGTTCAAATAATAAATTCTTCTACTCAATTTCTAGTTTTTTTTATTTTTTAATCTGTACTATACCTCGTCCAACTAGATTATTCAAAATTTGAGGAGATAAAGATACTTAGATCAAAAACTGAAACAAAAGAAAGCATTAAATTATAAATAAGACTTCAGGCAAGAAAAGTAGAGAGTCTCTTTATAACATGGAGAGATAGAGTTAATTTAATAAGAAAACAATCTATAGCAAAAATTTCACAAGCAAGTTACTTCTTTGTGGTTGTAGTTAATTAGAGAAAGTGTCATCCATGGGCATCCAGGGAAAAGCATTAACCAATCATGCATGGATGAGAAAACAACTTGAACCTAAATCTCTATTTTGACTTAAAAATTACATAGTTTCAAAACATCTTATTATTATTATTATTATTATCGTCAAAGTAACAAACCCATAATAATTAGGATAAAATATGTTTACTTATGTGAAAAAAAAATATTTTTAAATTATGGTCTCTTAAAAAAAAATATTAGTTAGTTATATTGACAACTTTTTAAAAATAGGTTTGTAATGACATGACACGGATCAAGTTATATCATATCACGGGCCATTTATATACATCACACATTATTATTAAGTGATAATGGTAATATTTTGTAAGGATAACTAGTATCTTTTTTAAGGGCATTGATTAAAGAATTATAATTATTAAAAAATATATAAATTTTTTTTTCTATTTTTTATATTTAATTTTTTTTCTTTCATGTAGGTCACTTGAAACTACTTTTTTAATGAAAATTTTGAAAATACATGCCTAATTAAAATATTAAAGACATATATTTTCAATCAAAAGATAATATCAAATTACATTTTCTATGATAGCAGGAAATATTTTATATTATATTTATTAAAATAATAGTTTTTCATTTGAAAATGTTCACAAAAATTTATAACAAGCTAAAAATATAAAACTTTTCAAAGCACATTATTAATCAATATTTTGGAACACATTTAATCTGAATTGGAAGAATAGATAAAGGCTTGTGTAATAATTAGAGGAAATAATAAAGAATATAATAAATTAAATCTATAAATTTAAAAAAATTCAACTTAAAACTAAATGGATCAATAGAGGAATATGAAAGATGTAAAGAAATTTTTTAGATCAAAATTTCAATATTATTTTGTGCACAATTTTTAAAAATTTTAATATACATTTTAATTAAAAATCAATACGTTAAAATTTAAATTATTTTTAAAATATCATAGTAATTTTAATAAAAATAATTTAATCATTTAAATATAATTTATATATTATTTAATAATTTTATTATCTCAAATATTTAATAAAATAATAATATATTTTCTATTTTAGTATCTTTACACGAACCTCTGTGCTATAATATCACCTTAAAAGGGTCTAATTTTGAATATTGGTTTCCTCGTAGGCAATGGCTGTTAGTGACAGATTGTGCTTTAAAATGCAGCAGACAAAGTGAGAACTGAAAGCACTAAACATTGACACTTGGAAAGGTAACAGACAATGACAAATGGAATCAGTTGCAAAGGCAGTAGGCAAAAGTGGAAATGGAGCAAACACCCCTCTCTTATTCTTAATATATTCGTTACAAACATCAAATTGCACCCTTCAATACTAAATATTGTTCACCTTCCCCCTAAAATGTTGCTGATGACAGTTACAAATGGACGGTGAAAACTAAAACTCCAAACACAAAGCCCACCAATATTAGAACTCACTATCCCCACCCATTTTTCTTAATCCACTTTGCCCTCAATTCTTTTCCTTCATAACACACTAATCCACAATCCTTCAAGGCGGTGAGGCTAGGCAGGGTGGTTCCCCTTGCTGCCTCAGCCACCCCATACCCATCACCCAAGACGGTAATTTATTTTATCGTTTAATCATGAGCGACCAAAAGCAAAATGATGCGGTGTCGTCTTCTTCTTCATCGACCTTGACGAGCGAGTCAGAGGAGGAGTTGCAGCACATGGCATTGGCCCCACCCTTGTGGAAGAACAGGAAGAGGCTTTCTAAGCAGTTGTCCATGTGTGAGAAGCCCAGAGACATTGCATGGGAGAAAAGGAGAAAGCAAGAGCGAAGAAGAAGCGCTAATGTGTGTGATGATCTCACGGATGAGGACCTGAATGAGCTTAAAGGCTGTATAGAACTTGGATTTGGGTTCAACGAGGAAGATGGTCAGAGACTTTGTAACACGTTGCCTGCACTTGACCTATATTTCGCCGTTAACCGCAGGTTGTCTCCTAGCCCTGTCTCTACCCCTCAGAGCCGTTCTTCTTCCCTCGGAGGATGTTCTTCTTTTGGAAGCCCAAGGAGTGAGTCTGACTCGTGGAAAATTTGTAGCCCAGGTTGTTGAATGCTTAAAATTGTTGTTTTTAGATAACTTGCATGCGTGTGTTGTGCTTTGCTCATCATGGGTGTGTGCATGTGTCTGCAGGCGATGACCCGCAACAGGTGAAGACCAAGTTAAGGCATTGGGCTCAAGCCGTCGCTTGTTCTGTCATGCAGTCTTCTTGAATTCAAACAATGTCCATGTTTTGTACAGGTTTCTAGAAGAGAGAAGAAGAAAAATTAACCAGAAAAAAGAAAGAAAGAAAGAAACAATGAAGCGGAAAGAGGAGCTAGCTCGGCTAAGTTTGAAGAGGTTCTTCATTCTGGGGTTTTTTGTTGGAGGCTAACTAATTGAATGGTTGGATCCAATTCGAGGGTTGGTTAAGGATGATATTAATTAATGGTCCTTTAACCAATCACCCCATAATATTTTCTATAATGCTTAGCCTTTTCTCTTGGTATGGTAATCTCTCTCGCAGGTCTATTCATTTGGGGCACAGGTGAGACACAAAAGCATACATTTGGTTTGGTTGTGTTCTCTCCTTAATTACCATGCATTAATTGTTGAGACACCTTCAATTATATATGAGTAGATAAGTTGTTCTATTCTACCAATCCTTAGCTTAGGGCATCCTTTGACTTCGCATGACTTGATTGTAAAAGATGAAGAGAAGTCTAATTGTAAAATTGTACTTCTAATTGTTTCATGCTCGTTCTCTCTTTCCCCAAACCACTCTCTCCTTTTTACTGGATTCTTTTGGTTGTTGAGAAAAAGGTAAAATATCCAAAGTTAAATACCAAAAAGAATAATATATCCAAAAATTTAGATGATACCAACATACAAGAGAATTCGGATACACACAAGAAGCTCACAGTTTATGTTTGTATCAAATGGACTTCTTTTAAAAAGGAAAAATGAAATAAACATTTTCTTTGGAAATTCAGTACTTGCATGGAAACGGGTAGCAGTGGAGTTCACAATCTTATTAATACAGCGCCAAGTTTGAATAGAGTATTCTGGGTATGAGGTTAATACACCTCATCTGAAGTCAGTAGTGAACTAAAAACAAACAAGAAGTGTGTTTTTGTGCATCGGGAGCTTTTATAATTTAATTTTTTCACAAAAGAAGGAAGGTTAATTAATTTCAAATCGATCCTTATAATAAAAATAATTCATTTCTTACTATATATACCTACAGTTATCGTAAGCTAAATGAAAAGAATATAATGCGTTTTATCAATATGGCAATAAAAGGTAGGCTGCATGTATAAAAATATAATGCTTAATTATTTAAGCCTAAATATTTTTAACATGCTCTATTAGTTATGAAATGAAAAACTTATCTAATTTAAATCAAATTAATGGGATGTGTAATGTAATATTTGAATACTGAAATACTGTAAAAAAAAATTTCACTAATTGTCACCGCTTTAAGTGCTTAACAGTGTTTCAGCAAGTAAATTTGAGTTGGGATGAATTTAATTATATAAAATTAACTTTATTTAAAAGTAACTTTTACATAATTTAATTTTTATTTATTTATTTAAAATTATAATAAAATTTAGAACAATTTTTTTAACTTGATACAAAGTTATAATTAATCACATTAATTTAAATATGAATTTAAAGACAACATTAATTTTAATAAAAAAAAACATTCAAATATCAATCTTTTTAACACAATCACGTTATAATGAAATAAATGTAATTTTATTATAATTTGACATGTATCCTAAGATACAAATAATAGAAATTGACAGAATTAAACAATAGCTTGTAAAAAAAGAGTGGTAGTAACTAATTTTTTAAAATATATTTTTAATTTATTTTTTAAAATTTTAAAATAATAATTAGTTAAAGAATTCATAATTTTAATTTAAAATATTAATGAATTTTTAAAATATATTTTTAAAAAATATATTGTTTATTTTCTCTTTCTTACAAATTACTTAAGGTTGTGGTAGGATAAGGTAATTAAATTTTTTAAAGAATTAAACATTTAAATTTTTACTATTTTAAAATATATTTTTTTTTGTAGAAAGCAGAAAAATAAACAAAAAAAATTATAATATTAAATATAAGACTCTCTTAACTCAAAGAAAAAATTTCAAGTTTGTATGAAGTGAGATTAAATCTTTAAAATCATAATTTTTAAAATATTTTGTTTCGATATAATAATTAATTTTTCTTCATTTTAAATATTTTTATTTAGATAGAGTAATTAAATTTCTTTTTTTTTAAAATCAAAATATTACTATATTTAAAAAAATAATTTAAAATATAAAAATTTAACTTATAGAACTAATTAACTGTAATCAAGTAAAAATATAAATGAAAAAAAGTAATTCCAAAATCTCACTTTTTTTATGATTTATAATTCTTTGATTTTAGTCGATTAAAACTCTCACTAAAGTTGCTAAATTTTTTAAAATTAAATATTCAAATAAAAAAATTTAACTCATAAATTTATAAATTATTTAAAAAATAAATTATTTACCTAAATTATCCCATTTAAGCACATTAAAAAAAATAAATTTCTAATTTTTAATAAATTGACGGAATAAGTAATAACAGTATGATTTTTCTTGAAAATTAATAAATAAACAACAACAATATTTATACATTATAACAGTATTTTATATTTCTTTCACCTCAATTTTATCACTTTTTATTATTTTATATTATTTATTTTTCTTTTTATGTGTTTCCTTTTTTTTTTAATAACTTTCCATCTCTCTCGTTGTTCATATATAATTTCTATCACCTAAAAATAGATTCACGAGTAACATTGTTCATAAAAATAAAAAATAAATCTTCAATTCAAAATTAAAACAACTCATCATTTAAACTGTTTTAAACTTGTTATTATTATTATTATTATTATTATTATTATTATTATTACTTACTTCTACCTATTTCATATCCATAATTTAAAAATGCATTTTAAATATCCTTACCAATATAATATATATAAAAAAAATCCTTACCAATGCTAAAAGAACATTTTGGAAAATGAAAAGGGGGCAAAGCAAAGCCAGAAAAAGAGGGGAGAGAAAGATAAAAAGAAAAGAGCCCGCCCAACCCCTTTCTCTCAATTTATCAATCGATTCGAATCTATATATTAATATACACATTAGACAGAATAAAAGTGTGTCCATGTTTCAGATCTAACCGTCCCAAAATGTCCACCATACCCACCGCCGGCTACGGCACCGTCGGCGGCACCCCCAACCCCACTGAGCCCCCGCCACCGAACATCCCTTCCTCCAATCTGATCGCCACTCCCCGCTCATGGCGGGAGTTCTTTGACCTCTCCGCCCTCTCACGTCCCTTCAACTACGACGACGCCATGCTTCGCCTCCGAAGAAACCTCAGCTACTTCCGCTTCAACTACGCCGCCGTGATACTCTTCATCCTCTTCCTTAGCCTCCTCTGGCATCCCCTCTCCATGATCCTCTTCCTCATCCTCCTCGTTGCCTGGTTCTACCTCTACTTCTCTCGCGATCGCCCCGTCGTCATTCTTAACCAAACCTTCGATGACCGAACCGTCTTCTTCGTTTTGGGCCTCGTCACTGTCGTTGTGCTCGTCTCCACCCACGTGGGCGTTAATGTATTGGTCTCGTTGATTGTGGGTGTTATCGTTGTTGGGTTGCATGCCGCGTTTAGGGTTACTGAGGATTTGTTTCTCGAAGACGAAAGTTCGTTGCTTTCTGTTGTGGGAAGTCAACCTCCGAGAACAAATTATACCCCGATTTGATTTTATTTCACAAGTTTGGTTCTGTTTTGTTGTGCGAGGTGTTTTCAGTTCTGGGCACTGGTTTACCATCGAGTTAGTTTTAGATTTTCTAATTTGGGAATTCCAATTGTGAAGAAGGGAGAGTTCAAATTCAAAGCTGGGTCTTTTGTTTTGAAGGGTAGTCCTGGCAATGATGACTATGAGAATGTGGATTTTTGGGTGTTCAGTGACTCTTACATGTTGCTTGACGTTCAAGCTGCTGATCCTGCCACCTTGGTTTATTCGGTTTGGATTGGGGTTGTAACGGTATGTTTGTAGTGAAGCATTGAATTAGAAATTGGAATCGGGTGTGTTTTGTCTAGATAGACACGAGAGTTTTCTGAGGCAGAGGATCTATTCAAGTAGTGACTGACAATGACGATGCAGCTATTTTGCTTGTTCATCTTGTTTGTTACTTTTTCAATTCCATGTTTCGATTCTATTTAATAAGTTCGCGTATTTTGCTGCATAAACTCTTTTTCCACTGTTAATTTGTAGTATGGTTAATATCTCACAATTGGGTATAGTTTTGTTAGCTGTTTGCTTTCTTCTGCGTTATCGATGGTTAATTTTATTAATTTGTTCTACTTTGAGTTCATTATGAAATGCCGATTGTATTTTACACTTGTAATTGTTCATTTCCTAAAATCTGGTACAGGGCATATGACTTAAATTGGTTTGCCTTTTATTGATTATATAGCCATTTATTTATCAATTTTCTGAAAGAAAGTGAAATTCTTTTCGCGCTCATTATTGTTGAATGTTGCTGGAAAAGAGTAAAGAGCTCAGAAAAGGTAAAAGGGAGAAATTTGGGAAGAAAGGAATCAGAATATTATAATGAAGCTTATTAAAAGGTATCCAATCGATGGGAGGGGGGTTATTATGTGCTGGTTAATGCAATGAGTAGCACATGTCTTCTTTAAATTGGAAATTAGCGTCCTCTGGTTTTTCCATTTTTATGTGAGAGCAAATCAATGCCATCATTAACGGTGGTATGAGAATATTAACTGTCTTCACTTTTCTGTTTGGGTGATTTTTCAAATATGGTTATTGGTTTTTATGTCACTGAATATTGGAACGTCTGAGTTTCACATACTTGATGCTTGGTTGTTTTGGACCTGCAAGTCAAGATGCAGCTCTAAAGTGTATGCATTACTCTGTCAGATCACATGGATGAGGTATTGTCCTACTGCAGATAATGGCGTGTCAATTTTAACTAAAATTTCCCATATATGAACACTTGATGTATAACTCTATTCGACCACTGATTATGTTCTTGGTAGGCGTTGGCAACCTTTGTAAAATTAGGAAACTTAGTATTGGCCTTTTGGCATAATTATGTCCATGTAGATTTATTTAAGTAAGAAGTGTGGCAACTAGGCCATTGATTAAGGTATTGGCTCGGTAGGAATGTCTGAAAAATGCACTACTTGAATTTAAATTTCCTCGTTGGTACTCGCATCAATGGTCAATTTGCACTTGCTGTGAACATTCTCAACTGTGGTAGATTGCTTTCAATGATATGTTAACAAAAAATAAAAGTAGAAATTCATGAAGACTCAAGAATGATGAAGTTGTTGGAACCCCTTTCGTGTGTTCTATCTGCCATCAACTCTAATATAAATTAATTGTAGATATATTTCATTATTTCACTTTACATATTCTTCTACCTGATACTAGGTCAAGAAATCACTCTGTTTGGAAAATAATTTTTTTTTAAATTTATTTTATATCGAATTGAGCAATTAGAATTACAGTATTTTAGGTAACGTAAACTTCAGGAAAAGAGGGTGATATTCTAGTTTAAGACAAAAAAACCCAAAACTAAAAAAGATATTATGATTTATTATTTGCGTGACTTTATTGTGCTTAATTCAATCAACTTTTGGTGTTAAAACAGTTTTGATCAAGGGTACAAAAATTTTTACATTTTTTTCTGGAACAAAACATGACCAGTCAAGTCAATTGCTTGAATTTAATGTAATAGTCAACACTCCCATCAACGGTGGTCATTCGATCATAGAAAATTTGTATGGAATTTTCATACTATTTATCATTTTTGGTGTTAAAATATTACATATCTTCAGTTTTTTCTTTTCATCCGAATATACTGTTTGATATGAAGCACCACAATTTCTCATGTCAAAATAACTTCATTAAGTTTAAATTTTATTAAAATATATTAACCATTTCATTTTGAAAATTGAATCTTGGATAAAAGAAATTTCGGAAGAGTACCTTGTGATGAAAATCGGAAACAATCACAACTCAAAGGAAAAGCGTTTCCCAGAATTGAGATAACAGAAATCATAATTGAAATAACATATCGAGGGACAGTGTGAAGACTCTGGTTGTGTAGGCCTCATAGTGGAAAGTTCCCATTAAGAGTATGATAAATGCAACTAGCATGGTTGAAGGTGCCCTGTAAGTCAAACGCTCTTGCAGGCTTGGATGGTTCTCACTTTCATTCATACCAAGAGAAAGACATCATTGGACTTAGATCAACAAGAAATATTAAATGTTTAATGATCCAAAGAATAACGACAGATGAACAAATTTTCAGTCAGGAGTAAAACAAATTCATATAAACTCATCGCATGGTACTACATGAACAATTCCCTAAGCAGCAATATCAGCGAGAATGGTACCAAAAGTCAAAACAGTTGAATATGTATATGTAAAGTTCTGAAGGCAGAATGATATAAATAGAATAGGGAATTTTCTCAAGAAGGCAAGGCCTTTCGACAATAGGACAAAACCATCACAAAATCCTTGGCTGAGGACCCCACAGACGCTGGTATCTTTTTTGAGGTTGATGCTGTCCGGAACCATAGATCTACTAAGTTATGCAGTTGCAGAGATGGGAGCACTGGCTGACCCCGGCACATTATTTCCACCTGCGCAAATTAGAAAACAGTAACAGTCTATTGCACCAGCCAATTTGCTTATGTTTGACTTGAATTATTATTTTTGCTTTGCAAAGAAAATTTGTTGTAATAGTAATATTTGTCCAAATAAAAAAGTTCAAGTCTGATGGCAGTTCAAAGTTCTTAACCTGCAAATCATGAGGTAATTGAAATTCACATAGTACACTGATTTGCCAAATAATAAGTCGGTCAATTATCTGATACAACCCTAGTATTGAAATATCCTTGAGCCGTTTAGAAAAGAAAAAGGGCTGTATATATGGGAAATTGAGGCAGCGTTTTCACTTGGTAAAACCAGGACCAAAGGTGAAAGGACTAAGAAGGTATATTTTCAGTGCCTTCAAATGTTAATTCAGTTTTTAAAGCCTACGAGATGATTTGGTGTTGAAACTTCAGAAGAATTCCCTTTCCAATATTTTCATTCTCTTTACATAACGAAATTGTGTGGGTGCATGGGCGTGTAGCAATGGAGATTCTATTGCTGTACTCAGTAGTCAGTAGTTGTGCATCTGTTATATTTGCTGCTTTCGATTACATAGAAAAGTACAGAATTTTAAAAATAAAATCTGGGACAGTCCCTAAACTCTAGCTTTCATAGTTGCATTAATTTCTTATGGTAGCCTTGGTGGACAATGTCCACAAGGCTTGTACTATGTTTCTTAGTTCTTAGAAGGTAGTGATTATAATTTACTCACTTCTGCTTCGCTGGCAAGATTAAGTTTCTTCACTAGGTACTTCTGAATAAATGAGACAGGCACGGTACCATCCCTGTGATGAGGTCAGAAACAAAGAATTATACAATTATGACCTATGAATCCTTATCATGAGAAAGGTAATATATTCAAGAAAAGAGAAAAGAGTAAAGAAAGAGGACAAGCAAGTAAGAAACAATAGAGCCAAAGAAGCTTGAAATATCAACATATTTCAAATGATTTAATGTGGAAGTTGAAGTTAAGTTCTCTGCTAAAACTGGGACTCAGACAATGACCATCAATACGTGCATCAACCATCTCGAATAACAGCAAAACAAATCAACATATGACTTAGACAGTGATCCTCAATCTCCTGATTTCTGAATGTAAGGTTGTTCCAAGAAAATCCGTCCACAGCTAAATTACAAAATATGTAAGATTAACTTTGTGCTATTTGCTGCCTGAACATCATAACATCTGTGAGTCATATCTTTAAATGCAGAAATGTATAATTTTCTCTTGGGATGCAGTAATCCTCAGAGTTTATGAAATCATGAGAGATCATATGAAAATAAAAAGCACCATTTTATCTTATTGATTGTTAGCCTAAATTGGACTCCAAACGAGAAAATTTATATTCTGTTCAATGCACAAGCCAAAGTTGTACTCACAATAGCAAAATCAAGAAAATCTTTAAAATCTGTAATGAGTCAGAAGAATTACTTTATTCTTAAGTAACATGCTGAGATTTGTGGCAAGGGAACATCTCCTTTCCTGAGTAATAACATTAATTTCTGTAAGGTCCACAGAAGATCAAAACTTTATACTTAGTATGATTGTCGTATATGTAAAGAACTTACTGGTCCTCTGAAGCAACTAATGAAAACCAAATGGGACTGTTTTTTCTGTTGCTCTTTCCTCCTGTTGCATCTAGCAGGACAGGAGATGAGCCAGACATCTCAGATGCTGCAACTCTTTTCTGACCAGCAGGACGCAACCTTCTTCTCTTCACCGGTCCTGATGGCAAGCTGTTTCCATCCTTGTCATCTCCAAATATTGTTTTATGTCCAGTATCTTTATTTTTGTTTTTAGGAATGTTTAATTCACTCTGGACAGAAGCAGGTAGGTCTGTTCTGGTTGTAATTTCAGGCGTATCTTGTCCACCGTGAGGAGTAATTGGAGACTCTAATTTGGCCAGAGGAGTTGCTTGTGAATTTGACCTGGAGGACTTTGTTCTGTTGGCAGCTTCAACAAGACAGTTTAGTGGTGTCCAGAGATCAACCTTCCCTTCTGTATGTTCCACACTGTTCTCTGCATCTTCATTGGGCTTATGCTTCTTAGAAGGCTCAGCCACGGAAGAATCCTACAAAAATATAATGAATTAATGATTATACAATGGCCATTATTGCATTATACCCACGCTTCATGACCATACTATGACATGAAGCAGAGGCTTTCTTGATGTCAAATAGAAACCAGCAAAAGTCTAAAAAAAATAGAAAAGTAAGACAAGTCCTGGTGATAACCTACACCTTTCACTTTCAGAAGTCATATTCGACGAATCAGGTAAATTGAACATACCGTATTATCTTCACCATTTGTTTCTTCCTTCTTTATGGATTCTTCAAGTAGAAAGCTGCATCCACGTAAAGCAGCAGCCTTTCTTGTACTGGTTTTTGTTCTCTTTCCTGTAAAGCCAGGTTGCATTGAAACCTTGGGAGCACTTACAACCAATGATGAAAGTGATCTTTCTTTCCTTTTTGCAGGCAAGGATATTGAAGACAAAACTTCTTGGGCCTTGATCTTTTTTCTTTTAAAAGGGAATATTTTTGCCCTTATATCTTGCAAATTATGGTCTGGCCTGCATATAATAAACAGGAACCCTTGCTTATTTCACAGAGATTTTCCTACAGATTGACTAGACTGCTGGTTTTCAAAAATCTACAAAATAATTTATGCATGCATTCCTCTAAGAAGTTACTCATTCAAATCTAACATGCTTGAATATGAGAAAGATGTCACTCTGATTGAGCTTTTCATATTGAAGATCCATTATATAAAAACATCAGTCTTCACCAAAATTCACAAGCTGCAGATGAAATGCACATGTAAGTTCCAACCGCATTGAAAATGTAATCTATTTGCCATCTTTTTAGACTTTAGGCAAAAGGATGCTTTTTAAAATATAATAGATAATATTTTTACAGAGCTAAATTTTATGTCCAAATGGTTTAGGTCAACAGTTAAACAATTATATGTTACAAAATTAAGAAAGATGCGGCAAACATTATTTTGTGACTGATATTTCTGAAAGTAGGGAAAAGAAATTCAACTAAAAGAAAGAGAAGGAGTTTAACAAAGTATTAAGTAATTACATTGTGAAGGATATTTAAGGCCACGACTTTCATGTGATTGTACTAAGGATAAACCAGTTCTATAACAAGAAAGAAAAGGGCAGAGGTTGATCATGAACATTGATAACCAGTAGAGACAAGCAAGGGAAGGAAGGACAAAAGAAACAGAATAAACAAACCAACAGATATTAATACATCTACAGCCAAAATTCCAGCTGCATGTTTGTGTAGTACAGTTCAAATAAGTCATAAATTACACAAACTGCGACTTTAAGTTGGCAATGGAAGACAGCAACCGACCTGAGTTTTTCCACCGGAAGGCAGCCAAGATCAATATTGCACACTGGGCAGCTATCCATCTCCTCATCCGAGAGTTTCTCATATATGCACTTCCTGCAAACTGGTGGAGGTTTCATTGGTCAGTGCATTGTACAGAAGACCCTTGAAGGTGTCAAGCAATGATCTCAAAAGAGGTGCAAGCAAGAAAGTGTACGTGTGAGATTCAGAACTGTCATAAATATCATGTGCTGCTCGAATTATAAAACAAACATACTATGAAAGTCCACCACAACTACACTTCCTCAGAAAACTTCATAACAGTGTCCCACCTTACATTCTGATTGTAAACGAGGAATGACCATAATAATGTCACCCACACCCATGCTCCATTTCCACTTAGGCAAAGGAAATTGAAATAAGACGGAACAGACACAATTAGGATGATTCTGATTCCATTCCTTACCCGTCAAATCATAGAAACCCAAACAACCGAACAAACACAAAAACGTAAAGGACATATCAGATATAGTGACTCATGTGAGTCCTGTTGCACCATAACTGTAAGAAGACAATAGTTTAACGTTCTCTTCACGCAATAGCAGTTAGCACAGCACAAAAATCACAAAATATTCATGCCATAACATAATCAAGACCAAGAGGCTTGGGTAATCAGTGATTAGAATGAATGTTTGAAAGAAACCCAGATCATGAAAATCACCAATCACACAGTGCATTGAAAACCCAAATCAAGTAAATCCAGGGAATTGGATATAAATCACAAATCAAATAACCATAAGCAAGAACTCAGAAGGGTGAACGAAGAATACACTGCAGATGAAGATAAAACAAGAGCAACGTCAGAATCTGAAAGAGAGAAGAAAGCGGAAACAGCATAAAAATCAAATTAGCAAAGAAACAACAACAACAACAACAATAAGAGAACGTAAGAACAGAAACACAAACAACAGAAAGGGGGTTATAGAGAGAAAGAAGAGAGACGAACAGGTATGAAGGCAGAGAGAGATGGTGGTAGCATCTTTGAAGAGGTTATTGCAAAGAGGGCATGTCATGCATGCTCGTAGCGTATTTCTCTTCACCTTCACGACTTGTCCCGACACCATCTCGTTTCTCACGATAATTAAGGTTGCACTCTTTCTCCCTATAGGAATGGACGTGAAGCCGATATGGATCTGAGCACTCACGCCTTTTGGGGGCGAAATCGCGATATGGGTTTCAATTGTTGCCACCAAAATTACGTACAGATGAAGCCGCCACCGTTCAATGTTGTTGTTGGACGGAGACGAAGAAAATAGCGCATGAGAAGAACCGAAGCAATACACACGCCATACATACACTACTAACAAACCAATGCTTATTGTCCCGTCCCGTGCGTGTAATGTGTATTCACGTTTGACTTCAACTTCAACTCTCTCTCTCTCTCCCCGTTTCTCCTTCGATTATTACTGTTTACTTTAGTAGTAGCTTTCGTTAACTGTTTACCCCAATTTCCTCACGCCACCCTTTTCCTTCTTCTTTCCGCTTCCCTCTTCATTTTCTTTCTCCGTTTCCCCTATATATAGCAAAATATTCTGCCAACAAATATTACAAATCTTCTCTTCTCCCTGTTTCCTCGTTATATTCAATTATGTAAAAAACATATATAGTAATGCTGCCGTTATTTTATTTTATTTTTGTCAATTATTAAATTTAATTTTTAAATAGTGAAATAATCATGTGTAATTTTTGTAAAATTGGACGTAACTAACCTGTCGTTGAAGTGTATGCACGTAACCAATATTGTGTTAACATTTTTTTCAAGTGTACGAGCGTAAGTGCTAGATAGTTTGTGAAGCTGCAAATTTAGATACAGAATATTGATGGGAATGCCTTGGAATCTCTAACATCACAGTTGACTTATGAATGCTAGACTCTAGCTATCTATGCATCATCCAACTGATAAATCGCATAGCATATTATGTGGTCATAATTAGTAGACGCAAATTAACATGACTTTCTGTAACACTCATTAATTAATGGGTTGAACCTAAGCCAACAAATTTGTTTATTTATTTTGAACAAATTTGAAATTTTATATATGTGGAAACTTTTCCTTTTGTTCCCCTTTCCATGGAGGTGAGACAAAAGTTATTACAAAATGGACCTAGTTTTACTGCTTACTAGGCTCAGTTCATTTATGAGAGAGAGAAATGTTTTTTTTTTTGTTTTTTTATTTCTCCATCTTTTATTGGATCAGATATATAATTGCATATGCAGGCAGGGTGCCCACTTGTGGCATATTTTCCCCCTTTATCCTTACTTCTGGCTATGTTGTATGCTCTTTTGTTTTATTATAAATCATGTTGTTTTAATTTAATTATTAAAAAATGTATTAGACAATAAATATTATAATTTAACCTTTCAAAGTGCATATGCATGTTCTTTTGTTCTCAATCCACTGTGTAACTGAAAGAAGATTGTTGGCATTAGATCAAAATATAGCAGACGTGGCCATTCTGTATTTCTGCAATCCATTTATGTCATCGCCATTCATGGTGCAGCAATAGTAACTAATCACATACATGCAATCTATCCTTGTCCTATGACCACATATATATATATATATATATATATATATATATATATATATATATATATATATATATATACTAGAAAGGTGATATGTGCGATGCATAAATAAATTATTATGTCATGTATCATATAATAAATAATAATTATATAAAATATATATGATAATATTTAAATTGTTTTAAAATTTAAAATTAATTAATATATTAATATTATTATTAATAAAATTATTTCATATATTATATTAAGATTTATAATATACTTTTACATATTTATAAATTAACTTTAAAAGTAAAAAAATTAAACTCAAATATTATTTTAATTTATAAGATTATAAATTTAAATCTATAAAATTTAAAAATACTCTTATAATTAATTTATAATAATTTAATATGTATACATACCACAACATAAAGATCCATAGTAAAAAAATAAATTTTAATATATTTAAAATTTTTTAAGACAAAAATTATATATCTTATCTTACAAAATTATATGGCACACAATTTAAGGATAAAAAATATTTATTTTATTGAATAAGCTTATTTTGTATTTTTGAAACAACTGTCATGTATCATAATTTAACCACTTATTATTAAATTATATATTTATTACTTAATCTGTTATTTTAAAATTTAAAATATAAAATATTTTATATATTGCATTAAGACTTACAATATACTAAAAACAGATTTTGTAGGACTAAAATTATTGAAAGAATAAAATAAATATTAACCATATTTATAAATACTAAAAAACATTTTTTATCTTACAAAATTATATAGCACACAATTTTAGAACAAAAAAGATTAATTCTCTTATGTCTAGTAAATATGTCCGAGCATTATATATATATATATATATATATAATTTAGTTATAAAATAATTATAATTAAATATAAAATTTATTATTTTTAATATAACAGAAAGAAAAAATATAAAATAAAAATTTTGGTTATTTTTTAAAATAAATTATCTATTAAAAATAAATTTAACAGTTAAAAATAATATATATGTGACTTTAAACTTTAAAAATGTTATTAATAATAATTTAATCATAAATTAGTAAATATATTTATATGTCACATAAATTTGTTTATATTGTATATTAGTATATATTAATATTATAAAATATAATTTAAAAATAAAAAATATATAATAATAAAATTATATTATATTGAATAATATTAAATATAAATAGATTAAAAAAATAAGATAAATAAATTTTCATATGCAAATTTTTATATACTTTATATATTTTAAAATTTCAATTAAGATTTAAATAGAAAGTAAAAGAGAAGAATAATTATATTGAATACAAAAATAAATTTTTATATCAATTAAAATTATACATGTTGATATAATATAAACTTTATGAGTCACATATAAAACATAGACAAATATTATGACAAATATAAAATTATACATGTTAATATAATAATATTTAAACTCTTTGAAAGTTTAAAATTAATTAGTATATGTTAATATTATTACTAATAAAAATATTAGTTATTTGAAAGAAAGAAATATTAATGAAGCACTTAAATCAAAGTGTGATAAGAATTTTTCTAAAATAATTTAAAAGTTAGATTTATATATTCAATTTTTTTTTCATTCATATGACATTGGAAGAGAATATAATGGTTCAAATATATTAAAATATTAGCAAATAATTTTATAACTAAACATAAAAAAAGTCACATATAAATAAAAATAAAATTAAATCCGTGAAAATTAAGCATTTAACTTTTTTTTAATGATGACTTCTTTAAAGACTCAGTCCTTGAATCTTGTGTTTGTGACTCCTCAACAATTAATGGACTCATTTCATTTTCATTCATTACCATCCTGCAGGGTTGCTTGGTAGCAAGAGCTACTTCAATAGAAACTATTTGGGAATCCTAACACAATATAAATTATAATCAACATTTAAATCAATATTTTTTACAATATTGTTATTCATTTGAAGTCAATTCATTTACTACCTTGGTAATATCAATTATTTGCTCATCTTCAATATTACTCATGGTTAAGCCAGCACCTTTATTCAAAGTCTTCATGCATCAAACATAATATAATTTTTTTTAGAGATTTGATAATAAATAAATTTATCAATTGAAATTTCATTTCAATTTGAAGACGATTAAATTAATTAAAAACAAATTACAACTTTCAAATTATTAGCATTTTGAGTTGACAAAGTGTCCTCTGAATTTTCTTCTACTTCATCATTGTTCCACTAATATACAAGATTTAATTATTTTATTTTGAAATCAAAATTTGACACCTTTATTTCAATCATTAATAATTTTAAAAATATACCTTAATACCGTGCAATGACTTAAACTGGTCAATTAGATCAACACTATCAATAAGTCTCTTAACATTGCATAAAACTCAATTAGTATCTAAATTTGCTTGAGTAATTTCAACTTTGAATAGAAAGAACTTGAATAATATTGTATCAATCTCAGGAGGAAATCCATTAGTCACATTTGCCTATAAGAGTAGAAAGCTATTTTAAAAATATTATAGATTAAAATAAATATAAAAGATTAAATGAAATCAATATCAACACAATCCTCTTCAGTCATCTCTGTTTTCAATTGTTTTGCAAACTTTCCAATGAACTGTGATAGGGGATTTTCAAATATTGTAAAAGAAGCAGATCCAAGTAGAATCCATAACATTAATATGCAGCTTAAACCTAGAAAAAATAAAACTCACCAATTAGATATAGTTCATCTAACCCGCTTAATTTTTTTGAGAATGGAACAAAATCAAAATAGTTAAAAGAGATGTTGTCACATTTGACTTTTGAAACTCTGATGGTTGCTATCAAATGTAACTTCCATTTGTGTTTAGTGGTTCGCATCATCTTTTTAGGAGTTATTACCATAAAATTTTCCATAATACACACATTATCTTCACGGAATACATTTTCATAACGTGATATAATATCCTTTCTAACAGTACAATAAATCCGTGAATTATGAAATAATAAGAGAACATGAAGGAACCAAAATAAATTAAGTAAGAAGAAAATTTTATGCACTTTGACTAAAGGAATATAAAAGCTTTACCTTTTCATCAACTAAAATTATGTTCATGCTATTAACTTGAGTTTTAGTTCAAAATTCATGAGAAAACCACAAATGAATGATCTGAATCATTATCTTTCAATCCACCTTCACAGGTCTTATTTCAGAAAGCATTGAAATAATATGTGCCATTTTGAAAGGATTTTAGTTCAAAATATAGACCAAACAATTTCAAACAAACAACTTGTACTTTCCCTTATATAGACCAAACAAAATCTTTCTCACTTTAAGAAATTTTTTTATTTATTTTTTACTGTTATTTTTATAATAAACTTAATTTAAAGTTGAGGATTTTCTATAATTTTATCAGTTATTAATTTTCAATACTAAAATTTAAAATAAACATTAATATTAAGGTTAAATCTGCCGCAAAAAATAAACTTTTTGAATATATGAAAACTGCTAATTAAAAATAAATACATTTTAAGTGATTTAAATTAAATCATTCAATACGACTTTAAAGATAAAGATTTATCAAAATTGCTAATTAAAAATAAAAATGAATAGATTTAACTAATTTAAATTAAACTGTTTAAGATGATTTTAAATAGTAATTAATTATTAATATAAAGATTATTGTTAAAAAGTAAAGGCAAATTATCCATTCAGTCTTGTTTAATCCAATTTACCAATTTAATTCCGTGATGAAGGTGATCATATCATTTTTACGTTGTTTTCGGG